AATCTACGAGACATTGGTAAAATGCTTCGGTATGGATGCTCCTAGCTATTCCACTGTAACGTATCATGTTAGGATGTATCACTTCATGAACAAAAAGGCGCCCATCATAAAAATTGACAAAAAATCGCCGGATCAAAGAAAAATCAAAGCAATTCTTCAAGCGCTAGATGAAGACCCAAGAGCATCACTCAGAAGGATAGAGGAGATGACAAAGATACCACGTACAACAGTCAGTTATTATCTGCACAATTATTTGAACTACAAATTAGCGTATACACGTTGGGTTCCGCACAACCTTAATTCAGTTCAAAAAAAATCTAGAGTCCAATCTTCGAAAGAGCTCCTCTCTATATTGGGTGCGTATCAATCCAAGAAGTTTCGCTTTTTAGTAACAGGGGACGAGTCTTGGTTTCAATATGCAACAGAAGCCAAAATCATGTGGATCCCGAAGGATGAAAATCCGCAAACATTCCCGAAGAAAAAAATTGACACACCAATGATGATGTTGTCGGTTTTTTGGGGCGTGAATGGTATCATCGCAATTGATATTCTTCAAAAACCTAATACGATGAATGCTCAGTATCTAATTGACAATGTTCTTACTCAAATTATCAATTCTGATGAGTTTGAGAAATCCAAACAACAAAAACAAAAGTTTGCAATTCATTTTGATAATTCAAGAGTTCACAAAAGTCATAAGGTAATGAATTACTTGGTGGAAAACAATGTCAAAGTTGTTCCAAACCCAATTTATTCACCTGATATTGCACCCTCTGACTTTTATTTATTCGGCACGCTAAAAAAGAGAGCTGAAGGACGCGAATTCGCGAGTCCAGATGATCTTGAAAATTTTGTAAGAGAGCAATTTGAGCAATTTTCTCATGATGATTTAAAGCGTGTCTTTCAAGCCTGGATCGATCGCTGCGAACGCGTGATTGAATCCAATGGTGATTATATTTAAATAAACTTTATATATATGTAACTTGTTTATTTCTATTCGCAGTATTCAGGTTTGTGCTAAACACACCTTTGGACACCCTATACAATTAAATTTGCTTTTGGAATAAGACTTAATTTTAGTTACAAACTTATCTTAATATCAGACTTATATTTAGAATCAGACTTATTTAGTCTAGAACTTACATTTAGAATCAGACTTCCATTTCAAGTCAGACTTCCATTTCAAGTCAGACTTACATTTCAAGTCAGACTTCCATTTCAAGTCAGACTTACATTTCAAGTCAGACTTACATTTCAAGTCAGACTTCCATTTCAAGTCAGACTTACATTTCAAGTCAGACTTCCATTTCAAGTCAGACTTACTTTCGTCCGAGACTTACATTTCAAGTCAGACTTACATTCGTCCGAAACTTACATTTCAAGTCAGACTTCCATTTCAAGTCAGACTTACATTTCAAGTCAGACTTCCATTTCAAGTCAGACTTACTTTCGTCCGAGACTTACATTTCAAGTCAGACTTACATTCGTCCGAAACTTACATTTCAAGTCAGACTTCCATTTCAAGTCAGACTTACTTTCGTCCGAGACTTCCATTTCAAGTCAGACTTCCATTTCAAGTCAGACTTCCATTTCAAGTCAGACTTCCATTTCAAGTCAGACTTCCATTTCAAGTCAGACTTCCATTTCAAGTCAGACTTACATTTCAAGTCAGACTTCCATTTCAAGTCAGACTTACTTTCGTCCGAGACTTACATTTCAAGTCAGACTTACATTTCAAGTCAGACTTACATTCGTCCGAAACTTCCATTTCAAGTCAGACTTCCATTTCAAGTCAGACTTACTTTCGTCCGAGACTTCCATTTCAAGTCAGACTTCCATTTCAAGTCAGACTTCCATTTCAAGTCAGACTTACATTTCAAGTCAGACTTCCATTTCAAGTCAGACTTACTTTCGTCCGAGACTTACATTTCAAGTCAGACTTACATTCGTCCGAGACTTACATTTCAAGTCAGACTTACATTCGTCCGAGACTTCCATTTCAAGTCAGACTTCCATTTCAAGTCAGACTTACATTTCAAGTCAGACTTACTTTCGTCCGAGACTTACATTTCAAGTCAGACTTCCATTTCAAGTCAGACTTCCATTTCAAGTCAGACTTACATTTCAAGTCAGACTTCCATTTCAAGTCAGACTTACTTTCGTCCGAGACTTACATTTCAAGTCAGACTTACATTTCAAGTCAGACTTACATTCGTCCGAAACTTCCATTTCAAGTCAGACTTCCATTTCAAGTCAGACTTACTTTCGTCCGAGACTTCCATTTCAAGTCAGACTTCCATTTCAAGTCAGACTTCCATTTCAAGTCAGACTTACATTTCAAGTCAGACTTCCATTTCAAGTCAGACTTACTTTCGTCCGAGACTTACATTTCAAGTCAGACTTCCATTTCAAGTCAGACTTACATTTCAAGTCAGACTTCCATTTCAAGTCAGACTTACTTTCGTCCGAGACTTACATTTCAAGTCAGACTTACATTTCAAGTCAGACTTACTTTCGTCCGAGACTTCCATTTCAAGTCAGACTTACATTTCAAGTCAGACTTCCATTTCAAGTCAGACTTCCATTTCAAGTCAGACTTACATTTCAAGTCAGACTTACATTTCAAGTCAGACTTACATTTCAAGTCAGACTTCCATTTCAAGTCAGACTTACATTTCAAGTCAGACTTACATTTCAAGTCAGACTTACATTTCAAGTCAGACTTACATTTCAAGTCAGACTTCCATTTCAAGTCAGACTTACATTTCAAGTCAGACTTCCATTTCAAGTCAGACTTACTTTCGTCTAAAGAACTTTGGGAATTCAGTTATTACGTAAATTTCTCAAGATGAACTTGAGAGCAGCGCAGTTATAACGAAAGTCTCTGATGAAAGGCAATGATTTCTTTCATGAATGATCTAACGTTAGCTTGAAATCAGGAAAAGAGACTATTGATGACTTACTTTCCATCGATGGTGCACAACAGCAGGGAGGGGATTGGTGGGTTTGGGGAAATTCGCTGAGGCACTAGTGTCCGGATTGTTCGTCAAATAGGTTTCCTTTCCTATAAAGAAATGACACTTTTTTAGCGGCTTATTGACTCAGAAAAATTTGAGAGTTAACGAATAATTTTGGCGCCAAAAATAATTTCTCTTAATTTATTAAATTTAATATACGCACATCCATAAGTTATGCTATTTTTTCTATTTATTTTGTTCTAAAATTCTAAATATTTTTTTTTCATAACATAAAATATGATGTCTAGTCTCATTTACATAACAACATGCCTTAGAATAGGTTTTTTATTCTTTTTGTCACTTTAAATTAAGAATAAAAAGATAATTTAAATTGAATATTTGCGATTATTCTCACTAATGCTGCTTCCTCTTTTATTAGGTAGACAACAAAAAGTTAGCCTTGGACTCCCATATCAGATTTTTGATTGGTTGCGTATATAATGATCTGGGATTGATAGACGAAAACCCAGTGAGAAAATTTTTGACGCCGAATCAGATTATGCTGGCAAAATAGGTTTTGAACACTTAGATAGGGATAAAATATGAATTTATGAGGAATAGTGAATAAATATACGTTTTGTGATAAAATGTCATAATTTTATGAAATCATAATATACAGTGAAAAAATATGAGTTGTTGAGACATATTTATAAGTATGTGGAGTTGGTATAATTATAGAAAAGAGTTATTGATAGGGATTAATAAAATAAATTAATGCATAATAAAACTTTGAAAGAATTAGAAAAAATTTTAAGGATGTAGTTATTTGAATAAATGGAATTTGAGTAATTATGTTAGAATAAAAAAGTTTGATGTTATAATAAATAGGTGTTATTCAAAGCTCCACAATCAGATTGTGTTTGCGGAACAATGTGTCATTCTGGGAGACAAGCACAGTCAATGTCTCCCAGAATGACACATGCAGACTGGCAACAGTACACTTTCGTACTTTGTTGGTCAAAGTTCCTCAATCACAATTTGATTCCCAAAAAGTCAATTAGTGATACATACAATTTTAAAAATAAGTCAAAAGACAATTAGACTTATCACTTCAAATTATATAAAGTTATTTTTAAAAGAATTAAAACTTTTAAATCAGCAAAATGCAAAAATTACTTTTATTAAATGGGTAGATATAATAAAATATGAATATCCAGATCGTACAAAAAGCAAATTAGCATGCTATGTAAGTTAGAACGTAAATCTTCAATTTGCATTATTTGAAAATTCTGTTTCTATCAAAAAACAATCATTAATGGAAATTGACTAAGGATATTAAACATAATTATCATATTCCAAGTATACTTGGCTTAGTTAATCTTTTTGGGAACGTATTTTTACCAATTTTGAGTAAATAGAAAATTCAAATTGCATGAAATAATGACGTTAATCTAGAAGCACTTACTCGTGCGTCATATTTGGTATTTTAACCTTTGACGTTGACTTGAAAATATTATTTTTGGACTGAAGAATGCAATGCGATCATTTAATAGACTTATACTGTCATCTATAGGACTAGATTTTCCCAGCAAAGTATGAGACAATGATGTCAAAATTTGGAAGTGAAGGCACTTCTCTTTTCCATTGATAGTTTTTGGAAAACTGCTTCTAAAAATAACTTAATTTATGCATTTTTAATAAAAGTTATATCATTAACAAGATGAAAAAAGCATAATGGTATAAAAAGAAAAAACCATTTATATATCTATAATCCTCATCCCATGCTAAACGAAACTACATATTTTATTTATAATGTTTACGATTTATTTATCAAAATATTGTCTTTTACATTGACATCTCGAGAAAATTTTCCACTTTTTGAATGGGTGTTTTCAGTATCTCAAAAACTGTAGTTTCTTTTTCACAAAGCTAATCGACATTTGTTTCCCTCATATGAATCCTTATAATAGACAAAATTTCATGGAAAAAGGACTGGTAGATTTTCGTGGGTCCACCTTTATTTCAGATTTTGAAAAAAAAAATATGAGTGTAAATGATTTTTCTAAAGACTATACTCAATTGATAAGTTTAAATATGTCTGGTGATAGCTACAAAGGTCCCCTCGTATCAGATCCGAAATACAAAAAGAAATTCGATGAACTTAAAAATAATTATTGTTTAACACAGCAATTCGATTTGATTGAAATGCTAATTCATAATGAAAGTGTATCAAGATTTGATTGGTTTCAACAAATTCAATCACAATCTTCAACTTTCTTCTTATTTATCACATATGACTACAAAGTTAAAAACAAAGAAGATTATAAACCAATAGCCGCTAGAATATTCAATATTTTTAACAACTTGCTACAGAAATACCCAAGAATTACTCAATCATCTCCTTATTATGAAAAATTATCCGCATTATTACAAAAATATTTCGTTTTTGGCGTTATTTATTACTCAACTACAGATCCTCTTGGATATGGATTAAGTTCTGCCATAAGTTACAAAGCTTCTTTGCTTAAAAATGATTTAGTTTTGAAATACTTTGATGCTTTCATGGAATCTGGTTCCCATTTACTTAACGAAAATGTAGCTAACATAGAAAAAGTATATACTAAGTTAAAATTGTTGTTTTCTGAGAAGAAAAAAGAAAAGAAAATTCAACATCAATCACAGTTCATAGAAGATAAGAAAGAACCACCTGTTAGGACTGAAACACCAACATTCAAGGAAAAGATTCCAAATAATGAAGGAAGAGAAACAAATGAAATGAAGGTAAATAAGTCAAATTATCTGGAAACAATAAACATTATTAATGATTTTTGTTTCTATGCTGATAAGAATAGCCAAGAAAATGATTTATATGCTTCAGATTCAAAATCAAAAATATATTCGAAATTATGATCCCAAACTTAGTCCTTTTTATTGTTATTACTTGAGAATTACATCTATACTATATACAAAATTACATGAATAAAACAAGATCATAAAAATACATGGAAATGTTCCATGAATCAGAAAAATCCATATCAGTATCTTAAAAATGACTAAAAATGTAAAGGTACAGACACAAGTAGACACAGAACAAACATTCTATGTACATGTAAAATAATGAGTTTGGAATAAAATCAGCAAAAGCAATATTGAGTCATTATAATCATCCCTATCTATTGAATGAAATTCTTTAGATGTCAGTAAGTTACAATCTTATGCAACTAAATTGAGATAAACAATTCCTTTTACAATAAATTATTATTTTATTATTTTTATGCTATTCATTTCTATTCGTTTTTCTTCAAAAAGCACCTGAAAGTGTAAATTTAATCGAAATTATACAAGATTAGGAAATTTCAGAAATTATAATAATTATAATAACATGTGACAGTAAGTAATTCTATTTGGGCATATCCGACTCAAAACTATGCGGAAAACCTTCTCTCTACCGTAATTAAAAAATTGAAAAATATAATTCAATAGGCAATTACACTTGATGAGAAAGAAGATATTGAAACAATCATGAAACATCCAATCTTGAAAAAGACCAGTATATTATTTCTCAAACACTCCCAATTGAGGATTAATATAGATGGAACTATTCAAAGCTTCGTAGAATAAGGTAATTATTCAGAAATATTATGAGATAATAACTGCTCTATTCCAATGTGTATAAGTTGTTCCTCAATTTATTGAATATGTTAACTTGAGGGACGTTTTATAGCATTTTTCCACCAGAATCTGTCATCTTAGATTAATATTATTCTCTTTCTTAAGGGTGCACACGAGAGGATCATGTAAACTTCAGAATTTAGAACCTTATTTTTAGGCATTATCTTGGCTACCTATATTTAGGCTCGAAAAGCAAAAAATATCAAAAAATACAACTTGACTCCATTATGACCCTTTCATGGAGGTAGTTTTTATCCGCTAGTATTTTCCCTTTGAATCTCTTTACAATTCGAAATCAAATTCAAAACTCAGTAGAAGAAAGGAAGAATCGACTTACTACGGTTGTAATACGAATAAATACATATATTTAATTATTTTTATTTACATAATAATTGTTTGAAGCTCATATTCCAACAAATTTTTAAATAAAAACATTAAAATGTTGAAAATGTTCATATATTTTAATAGGGTTTTGGCACTTTATTGAGGAATTACTACATACATAGTCGAACTGAACTTGATATTTTGAAATTTAAATTATTTATCAAAATTAAAATTTAACTTGAAATTTATAATTATTTAGTCATATTTTGCATAATTCTAAGTAGATTTTGTAAAAAATCAAGAAAGAAAAATTTTAACGTGCTTTATTTTTTCTTTTTTATAATAATACATATTATTATATAATTAACATATTCATAATGTTTCACCCTTTCAAAAATATAATCCTCCTCTCAAATAAACGTACATACGGGTGGCCTCTTTTTTCAAAAAATTAAAATTTGGAATTTTGGGCTCAAATATTAGAGATTTTTTCAACCTTCAACGATATATGTTGTCTATATCAGACCTCCTTTCTTTTTGATACTTAACATTGTTCCTAAATCTTAGCCGTTAAAGCTGTTCTGAAAATATTTTTTTTTCGAAAAAATTCGAAAAAAATTTTTAAAATTCAAAAATCCCTTAATTCCTGAGGATTTTGGAAAAAAGTTTTTACATGAACATGTGTATATTATATGAAGTATATTGATAAGGTAAAAATCAAATTTTATTGCATATTCATCGAGAAAATAAACTAACGAATCCCTCAAAATTGAGAGGGTAATCCTCCTCCTCTCAAATAAACGTACATACGGGTGCACCCTTAAAAGTCGATTGTAAAGGCTGGAAACGATTTTGAATTAATAAACGGGCATTTTTATGGGGGACCCCGAGAGATACCTGAAGAAAGACAAATTGGGGCAGGGAACTTATGGAGATGTCTACAAAGCACTTGATAAGAAAACAAATCAATATGTAGCAATGAAAATTATGAAGCCAAATCAAGAAGATGAAGGTATTTCTGCGATTACATTAAGAGAAGTAGCAATACTCAAAAGTTTAGATCATCCTAATATAGTGAAACTACTCGATGTATCAGTAAAAGAAAAATCCATCATTCTAGTTCAAGAATTTTTACAAATTGACCTGCGCAAATATCTTAAAGCTAGATACATGAAGCCAATGGACAGTAAATTACTTAAATCATATGCTTTTCAACTTCTTGCAGCAATTTATGTCTTACATACACACAGAATTATGCATCGCGATTTGAAGCCAGAAAATCTACTTTTAAACTCAAAAGGTCAATTAAAACTCTGTGATTTTGGCTTAGCGCGATTCTTTTCAGTTCCAATGCGTCAATATAGTCCACAGGTTGTCTCTTTATGGTATAGAGCTCCTGAATTGTTGTTTGAACCAAGATGCTACGAATTAGCAATTGATATCTGGAGTGCTGGATGTATAATTGCAGAAATGGCTAGAGGCGAAGTTTTGTTCACTTCCGACTCAGAAGTAGACTTGATACATAAAATTTTAGCAGTAACTGGAACCCCTGAAGACAAAAATCTTATACATTTGCCACAAGGAATTACAGTACCTGAATATAAACCACAGGATATGCAAGAAGTCCTTAGAACTGATGATGTATTTCTCGCGGATCTTGTTAGTAAAATGCTTACACTTGATCCAATGAAACGAATATCAGCAATAGATGCATTAGCTCATCCTTATTTCAAGGATGTCGCAGATCCTGTTCGCCAAATGTCACTCCCAAGTAGCTTGTTATGATTTTTCATGTTTTTTATTATATATATCTAAATCTAACGTATTTAATATAACTGTTATTTTAATTGCAAGAGATATTTTCTATAAGAGAATGATTTTATATCTGTTTGGTGATCGTTTTCAGAGTCTAAAATTTCTGTCACTATTACTGAATGAATGCCATAGAAATTTTTCTATCATTTCTTTCAGTATCTAATTCGACCTTTCTGGTGCTATTGGTCAAATATATAATGGTTAGATATGAGTTTTCTTGGCCAATTCTCATGGCAAGTTATCATTTATTCAATCTATATTTATTTCTCGAGATATCATGCATTTTTGGATTAATAAAACGAATTTCCCCGGTATCAAGATCACTTTCATTTATATTTTCACTAGTTAGTGTCTGCAGTCGCATATTTCAGAACTTAAATTTGCTAAATAACTCAATTGGATTTTATCAACTATCGAAATTCTCAATATTCTTTGTTTTGGATATAATTAATACAATCTATAACAAACAGAAATTAACATCTTATCCGATTTATGCCGGTATACTTCTTATCTCTGGCAATATAGTGTACGTAATGAATGATGATCAAATAAATTTTGTTGGGATCGTTTATGCCCTCTTTAGCATAGCATTTTTATCGTTGGGCCAATTTTTAGCTTTTGTTCAGCAAAAATCCAGTAATACATCAGGGCCATCAATTCAGCACTCAACTTCATTTTATGAAGCAATGATTTCTTTAATTCTTACAGTAATTTTTGAATTTAATTCAGATAGTTCTATTCTTGTTCATAGTTTCACTACAAATGAGTCTATTCTTATAATTGTTTCTGGATTCATCGCAATTTTAAGCAATTCTGTTACAATCAGCTTGGCCAGTGGTCAATCTTCAATTAATTTTCAATTACTCGATCATTTCAAATCCTTTGTTCTTTTTATCTTAAGTTTTATTGTTTTTCCTATCTCAGGAGCTCAGAAAAGATTGAGATTAATTACGCAAATTATTGCTTTTGTTTTAGGTATGTCAAGTAGCATCATAATATCTTTGTATCATTCCTTGGATACTCAAAAAGAATCTGAAATCGATTCTGACCAATTTGGTGTTGAACCAGAAAATGACGTGAAAGCTCAAGAAACAGAAAGCAAGAGAGTATACCCTATCATTAGGAGATTATTGGAAGATCCACTTTCTTCAGATTCTTCTGATAAAGAAATCAAAACATGAATTTTTATTTTTATCTCTATTTGTTTGTTTGTAAAATATTAAATTTGTTTGTATTTCAACTCACAACTAATTATTTTACACGTTTTACTTTGAAAATCGGAAAAATTATAATTTGAAATAAGATTTTTAACAATTACAAGGTTCTATATATTAGAAAAAGATTACTTCTTTGAACGTGCTGTTCCACGAGAAGTTTCATCATCAAACGTTCCGAATAAGCCAGATTTCTTCATTACTTCAACAAATTCGTTTTTGCCAACCTCACCGTCAAAGTCGCGATCAGCTTCACGAATCATTTCACGGAGTTCATCATCTGTAAGATTTTCTCCCAATTCTATTGTAGCTGCCTTCAAATCTTTAAGCGAGATTGAACCATTATGATCTTTATCGAATAGATCGAAAGCCTTGAGGATTTCTGTTAATGGATCACGATCGAGAATCTTTTGTCCCATCATTTCCATAAATTGATTGAAGTCAATTGCCGAAACAGCATTACCTGCAACAGCTGTAATCATTTTCTTTATTTCTTCGCGTGGTAGTTCAAAACCTAAGGCTTTCATAGCAACTTTAAGCTCTTTTGCATCGATTGAGCCTGAACCATCAGTATCAAATTGATCAAAAGCTTCACGAATTTCTTGCTTTTGTTCTTCCGTGAGATCTGCTATTGTTCGTTGGGGAGCTGCTGGTTTCTCTGGACTTGAAGTCATTATTAAATAAAAAAACGTGCTTTTCATGTCAGAATTTCTGCGTGTTTACAAAAAGACGAAATTTCAATCAAAATATAGCTATATGCAACTTCCAATCCAACTTGTCAAACAAAATCGACATCATATCCCGAGAGGAAAAAACCTCAGACCGATGTCCAAAGAATCAGAGTTGGTATTTTGCCCCTCAATAAAGCAAGCTATTATGTGTTAATTCGTAAGTTCGTTGACCGATGATTCTCGCATTGTTATTAGCAAATTCTAGAATATACTGTGAAATCACTAGATATTAATAAAATAATTATACTTTCTCATACCATTAAATTTTAATTGCAAAATAGAAGCTATTGTCATAGAAACAAATTGGTCCTTATATTTTTTTTGTAATCAAAGGAAAAGAAATGCTAACCCATATAAGTTTACACGATTTCTACCAAAATCTAAGGTTTTAAGCTCATATTTTTTATGGATTTTTTGAAGATTTGTTGGAACTCAAAGTTAACAAGAGAAGAATTCAAAGAAAAATATCAAAGTTTTGAAGAAGAGAAGCAAATTGCAATATTAAAAGGCCTTGCTCAGCTAAGTAACTCACCAGAAAATTCAAACATGTATTTTATGCAATACTTTTATGCAGTTTTAGAACAAAATCCATTCAAATCATTCATAAATATTGATACTAACAATAAAACAGAAATCGACAGTTGTAACAGACTTTTACAACAATATGGCGATCGCCTATTCAATTTTCTTCCAATTGGAACATATGAATCTGCGCACTCATCTATGTTAGCTTTAAAAATTATACTTTTATGCCAAAATTCAGAACTCAGAAAAAGCGCCTTAATTCAAGTGAATCATTCTCAAATTTTTCGAGTACTTATTGCTTCGTCAAGAGTTTATGATGCAAAAGAATTCAATTATGTACACGAATTGTATTACAATCACCCAGAAAGCAAAGAAATTCGAAATATTGTCGAAATGCCTGAACTTACATTGAAAAAACTTGAGTTAAAAGACAAGTTTATTGACCTACAAGAGATTGTTAACGTTGCCATTCTCTCGTACAACCCATGGCTCCTCAAAAATGACTTATTTGATTATTTTCAGCCGCAATTAAATTATGAATACTATATTTCGCTTATCAAACGATACATTTCAGCTCCAAACTTATTCATTGCATTTATTTTAACAAACTTTTTTCTTTATATCGAAGAAAATGGTATTTTCAATTATTCTGGTCAAAAATTCAAACCAGAGATATTGAAAAAGCATTTAAATAATCTTTATACGTATTCAACATCTCCTATTCCAATTCCATTTGATGAATTATTTCCATATTTGTCAACTTATCCCGAAAATTTGCCAGTTGAAAAACTTTACGAAGAATCAAGACAACATCCAGTTCTTTCATCATTTATATATGATAGATTTATGGAAACTTTCAAATCTGGCGACAACCAGACATCAATTATATTAATGAAGCAAATAATAGAGAATCCATTAGAGTTTATGTACTATTTTTATGTTATGGGAAAGAATGAAGAAATTATTAATTATTTATTAGATGTTGCAGAAAACACAACCGATGAATCACTCTTTCATCATTCATGGACATCTGTTGTATCAATGATGAGACTCAGTGTTTGTGATGGTTCTCCAATAGCCCTCAAAAATAATGATCGGTTTTTTAAAGAAAGAAAAAGCCCAGCAATGATTATTCTTCGTTGCATGCTAGACGAAAATTGGTCAGAAAGTGAAATTACACCTGTTACAACTATTGAAGAATGTTTGAATCAAGTTCTTCCTATTATGACAAGTGTAAAGTTTTTATGTTATTTGTTCACAGAAACAAATAAGAATCTGTTGATAAGAGCTTTGGCACATATTGAAGAGTGCCAAATTTTATATTTACCTGTCATTATCTGGGGAACGAAAACAAAAACACCTTTAGCAAGGCAGATACCTACAAAAAACATTCCTGATACTTTAATACATAAATACATGCTGAATCAGATGCTACTATTTTCAGCTCTTCCAGCACGAATTACTGGATGGAATTTAGATGTTCCTGATTATCTGACAGCAATAATGATGCCAGAAACACACAATACAATGAATTTGTTCCTAATTGTTAGAGGTTTGGAGTTGATCAACTCAATTAACATAACTGACACCACAGACATCACCGACATGTTTAAAATATGGCGTGCATTGATTCATATTCATGGCGGAAAAAAGTTTGCCAGTTCTGTAATTTCAGGTTTAATGTGGTGTTCAAAAGTTAGCCAAGAAAATGCTTTTGATCCAAGTCTCTTCATTGTTTGCGCATACCATTTCATGATATTATCAGATCTAACTAATGATTTTATGCCTCAATCATGTGAAGCTATTTTAGAATTCCTTGAAAGCGGGAATGATATGAATAATGCTGATGCTTTTGCCACATTTTGTATATTATGCATTCTTGCATGCGATTATGACAATATGGTGAAATATTTCACCAAAATATTCCAGAAATCAATACAAATATTAGAGAATGGCAAATATCTGTTTACTGAAATGACTGATTATGCTGTTAGATTCATTTGTGATGCTATGTATTCAAAGTCTTTGATTACTTTGGTTCCAGATAATGCTTATGAGTATTTGCAAAGAATGAATAACTGGAATGGAATAATTTACTTTTACATTGCAAAAGCTGAATCTCTTACTCAATCAAATAATTTATAGATTTGTTTGTAAACTGTATATATTTATATTTAATTAATTTCTACTTGATTTTTCTCGATTTGAAGATTTTAAGGCTCCACTTACATCCCCTCAATTAGTTGAGCCTAAAAACACACTCGTAGCTTCATAGGTTTGCTTTTAGAATGAAAAGACACTTGATATTACTGCTAAGTTTTTAGGTATATGAATTTTGTATTAAAGGCATTTTGTCTCCTGTTTGTCTTTTTTCATACAATAACACTTCAAGAAGAACAGGGATGGAATTGTTCGAGGCCATACTTTCAACACTTTAGGTGGTATTAAATTCCCCGGTATCCAACTCCATAAATTGCCTAACTCTTGGTGTGAACAAGAATGGAAAGTAGATTGATCTTCTGAATATTCTATGTGGAAGATGTGATTACCATACAAATAAAAAAAATTAATCGCTAAATATAGATATAAATATGAATTCTATTCAGAAAATATGAAATTATTCTTCATATATGTTCATTCTTTGACTTATTTTGTCTTTCATTATCGATAGAATTGAAACGCAAGGAAAAATTTAGCATCGCCATTTCATTCTCTAGTGAATGTTATAAAGATAATAATTAATAAAATATATGCATCTATGTTTACACTATTTATTTGTTTAGAATTGATTCTGTTTTATTAGCTTTATTTTGTGTTTTGAGGAATTTTCTTTATATGGTCAGATCACTTATAACAAAATTTTATGGAGTAATTGAATAGTTTACATATGTAAAGTTTACGTTTTTAATTTTCGAAAATTTCAATCTCAAAAGCCCCCAAACCTTTACCAAAAACCAAATACTCAGAGAAATTTGCTGATGTACAAGCAGTTGTTGATTCTGGAATGACAATTCCAAAATTAATTACACAATTAAAGAATAAATTACCAAAAGACGAGATTTTCAGACGCATTAGACCAAAAAGATTAATGGAACTTCTTGGTTTATATGCTTTTGAACTTCATCAGCTTGAAATGCAAGAAAAAGCAGCAGGACAGGGCCCAGCACCTGAAGATGACGGACCAACGCCAAAATATCATCATATGCACTCATCAGTTGTTTTCAACGATACTCCAGCTCCTGCACAAGCTCCATTAAAACCAAAGATTGATTGTCCATTTTTACTTCTCGATGTAAGAGACGAAGAAGAGTTCGAGAAGTGCCACATCCAAGGCGCTAAGCTATATCCAAAGGCTCGTCTCTCTCGTGCTACCAATCAATTCACACCTGAAATCCTTCAGTATAAAGCACATCCAGAAAAAATGATCATTGTTTATTGCGATTACGGTAAGACATCTGCAGAAGCAGCTCATATGCTCGCTGAACGTGGATTTGATAACATTTTCCTCCTTCACGAAGGCCTTGCCGCTTTTGCTGATGAATTTCCAAATTTGGTCGGACCAAATCCACCGCCACCACCTTTGACACCGTCAAAGAAGAATACTGCACAAGTATCAGCAGCTTCAAAGGTCTCAACTGCTGTTGTTCGTGGTGTTCATCCACATGCAACAAAGCGCGATCCTAATGAGAAAAAGCCATGGAAATAAATCTTTTCATGACTATATATTTGAATAATAAACACCTCTTCTGATATTGTTCTGACAATTGCGTTTCTTATTTTCTTTTCTTTTTAAAACTTTAAGATATTATTAAATAACATAATAATGATTTCTTGTTTTAATGCATTTTGTTTGTTTTTGGAGTCATTTTTGATGAAGCCAGATGAATCAAATTCAACAGTTAAACTTGGCTTCATCGATACTGTTTGTATTATCATTGTAACAGTATGCTCTATATCTGTAAGGGTCAGATCTTTCCATCATCCAAACACTTGCGTATTTGATGAAGTTTATTTCGGAAATTTTACGAATTTCTATCTAAATCACACATTTTATCAAGATATACATCCTCCATTTGCCAAATTACTTATGTATAAAGTCGCAGAAATCGGAGAATATCCTGGACATTTAGTTTTCAACGGAAATATTCCATATAAGAGCCCAGAATATACGATGTTACGATTTACACCAGAGATAATTTCATCTTTTGTACCTCCTTTATGTTATTTATGCGTTCGATTTCTAGGATTTTCTTCTTCATCAGCATTTACATCAGGAATACTTGCTGCATTCGAGACAACATTGATCTGTGAAGGGAGACATGTCCTTACAGATGGAATTTTACACTATTTCTCAATACAGCACGTTACAGTTTTATTATACTTCCGAACTTTGAAAAAACGAAATCTTTACTTTCACATTTGGCATGTAATCACCGGAATAACCCTCGGACTAGCTTGTGCCATCAAAAATACCGCATGGGGACTGATGGTTCTCGATGCATATGTTTATCTAAGATTATTATGGCCAGAACAGAAAAAATCAATGGACAATTATATAAGAATTGTCTTTATATACGGTTCTTCGCTGTTTGCAATTAATTTTGTTGTGTTTTGGGGAACATATATTTTACATTTTTTAGCTCTTCCTTTTGTAGGTCCAGGAATAGATTACATTGATTTCAGCTTGCGAAAACATTTCGTTCCATACGGAAACAGCTCTTTATTGCGTCCGAGATTAGATCCTCCAAATCTTCTCTTCAGAACTTTACTTTATATATATAGAACACACGAGGGCAACATGAAACTAAATGGTTTCCACGAATCACAGAGCCATCCCAACAATTGGCCTCTTTTAACAGGAGTTGGTGTTTATTTCTTTACTCATGATTCCAGACAAATCAGATGCTTTGGAAATGTGTTTTCGTATTATTTCGCTTTTATTGGTGTTGTTTGTTGTTGTTTTGCTTACAAAAAACCACAAAAATGGGATGCTTTTGTTGTATCTGTTGGATATTGCTTTTCTTACTTCCCATTCTTCCTTATTCCGCGTGTATTGTACTTATATCATTATTGTATACCTCTAATGATCGGAATTGTTGGTTATGGAGTCGCATTAGATTTATATCTGCCAAAAAGAGTGAAAGGAGTCGTTATTGTTTTATCTATAGCATTAGTTATATATTTCTATTGGCTGATATCACCGTATATCTATGCTTTGCCTCAGAGAGATTATAATAAAGTGATTTGGAATAATGCATGGGTTGTTGGTGATAGCAGACATATTATTGAAAAGTCTCAAGACCGCCACAACTAATATTTATTTTTATTTTTTTGTTTGTATCTGTAAAAATTATTTTATTAAATTTGAATTTAGTGATTATTTGCAGAGTTGATTATAAGCTATCCATTAATTTTAATAACAGATGTAATTACGTTACATAATTAAAATTTATGAAAAAGAATTGCTCAAAGAAGATGGATAACATTTCAAATATTTTTAATCAATAAAGCTTGAAATTCATGAATAACACGATCCAATATAACTATATACCTCAAATTTTTACTTTTTCAATATCCCTGAGATCAAAAATTTGATTATAACTGAGTCAAATTTTAGCATTTGTCCATCATAGTATTACCATTATAAAGGCTCTTTGATATCCTATGCTTCCATATCAGTGTTGGTCTCTATTGTATTTCAAATAGTTCTATAATTTGAAAAATTTTCTCCATATTGAGTTGCAAAAGTAAAAAATTGAGGTATATATATATATATAAAATAACGAATTATGCAAAAAATGTGCATATTTTTGTGGTTATCAGATAATATTCGTCAATAAAAGAACTGATTTCAAACAATTAAATGTATTCTTTAGGTATCTCATTGTAGCGAATGGATAACCATTAGAGATTAGTTATGTAACATGTAGAAAATTGAAGAACAGTATTTAAGAATATAATATTCAATTTTATGAAATAAATTAAATAATTTCGAAAATAAGTTTATTTTTTAATAGCATATCTTGTTGTTAGGGCATATAATTGAAAGTAATTATGTAGCATCAAATACAAATTGGTTTTATGAACTTAAAATCCCCAACCACTATTTTATTTGAAATTTGAATTCATGACGATAAGCAGTCCTGAAGAAATTCAATCTTTGAGACGGGACATATCATAAAGACAATACATATTCAAAATTGATATCGATATTCATGATGAGGATTTAGAAAATGAATAAATAAAACAAGGTCAGGAACATGAGGTCAAAAAATTGAAAAGGACATTTCAGAATGATAAATCTTGAATTTAGTAAAGAATATATTTTATATTTTTATATCGCAAATTCCGAATTGTATTCAATAATCGGAAAATTTTCCCCAAAGTTTCACATCATCATTGCCATTTTAAATATTATAATCTGATACCAATATGCGATTGAAATGCAGAAATTGAATGGAGACAGATTATTTTCCACTCAATCTAACAATCAATTTTCTTAAATGTTTCCATTTTTGAGCGTTATTGTCATAAAGAATGATTTTTTAACGAACCGTAGACGTTCTGAATTTTGCAGGCGCTATAATAGAGACAATTATGTTGCAAAGCCTTATTATCCTTATGGGACACCAGACCCAAATTCATGCGAAATGCCAAAATATAATAAATCTAAAGACATAAAAAAGGACTTGCAACACTTAACTTCTATAGATGAGCTTGTGGAGTTCCAACGATGGTTGAATTCAATGAAACATATTTTTATGATCTATGTCAATGTACTTTAGCTTTAGATATTAATAAACTTTTAATGCATGGAATTCCAGAAGAAGCTAAATGTTATTCAGAAAATGCATCAAACGGCTGTCATTCAAATGTTGGGATTGGATCTAGTTCTGCAAATGCTGTTAAAACTTACTATATGGATATTGGTACACCTAATTTAGGTCATAGACAGTCAATTCTTAACAAAATGGCAACCCAGGTTACATTCTGTGGAGTTGGGAATCGCAATGCAATGCGCATGATGGACCCAAAAAAGAGAATGTATTATACAGGGCCAAAAGATAAAAGAAATTTTGAAACAATCACTCCATCAGGCCCAATTGATGTTGAAATGCTACCAGGGATTTGGACATTTAATCAAGCAGTAAGCAATAATACAAAATTCACTTTTAAAGTAAATGGAACCATTGTTCCACTTCTTTATGGTCCTGTTTTTACTGGATACATAGAATTCATTCCATACACTACCTGGACTTATAACACAAAGTGGGAAGTCACAGCTGAATTGGGAGAATATAGATATGAATATGCTTATTATACAACCAATTGTAGTGAAGATATTCCGGACTATATTTTTGATAGAATGATGGGAAGAAAATCAGAAGGAATGACATGGTATTTAATTTTGTCTTATTGCATCCTTGCAATTACAATTGTTGTTGTTATTTTGTATTTTGTTGTTGCATGTTATACATCTCAAATGATATGCATTGCAGCTTCAATTCAGCCAAGCACCCATGAAATAATGAAGATGACAATAACAGAAAAAGAAGGAGAAGTTCCTCCTGAACCTAAGAAAATAAGTTATTTGTAATCTATTTAGAATGAAATAAGTGCTGAGTCCATGATATGTTTAAACATTTTCTTGCACCATTGATATCATCTCATCAAGATTTGCCCATCAATTATAGTCAGAACAAAATTTTTTCATTGTCAATTTTTCAAAAGTTAATTTTTGTAATATTTGGAAATGATGCATATATATAATAAACCATATTTTTAGTAGTTCTTTAAATAATCAAATTGAATATCATTGAATTATGATCAGATATGTAATTACATCAAATATTACTTAGTTGCACTTTGATTATTCAGAAAGCAATGGAATTTTACGTTACTTGTATAAAAAACACGAATTCACATTTCCACAATATATTTATCTTCAAGAATCTGATCATCGGCAAGATTATCATGTAAAAAATGCTTTTGATTTTGATTATTCAGTTGACTCTTATTGGATTTCAAATACAAAATCTGGATACTTCTCGGTATGCTTTCCTTTTCATGCAATTACTATTGAATCATTTGAAATCACAACTTCATCAGGGTCTTGTCGTCCAAAACATGTCGCTGCTGAAGTTAGTAATGATGGAGAACATTATAGAGGATATCAGTCATACAACGAAGCAATGACATCAAAAGAAAAGAAAAGGTATTTTTTCAATGAGAATTCTAGTTATGTCAGATGCTTTAAATTTCATACTTTTGAATCTACTTGTCCCCAATATACATTTGGAGCAGATGTTGATCAAGTTGAGTTCTTTGGAAATCTAATAGAAATCAATCAAATGATCGATGCCTTTGGTAACCCTAAAGGAAAATGTTCGACATGCTATTCATATTATAGGAAACCTTTGGAATTATTTGTTATATTTTTAAATCAATAAAAAATTATTATTATATTTATTTTGACTGTATTCAGCATAGAAATATCATTCTGTACAAGATTTAAATAGCATGATAATGTATAGTTAATAAGCTATTAATAATTATCAGAAAAAAAATATTGCCTTAAAACAAAATGTCTGTATAGAAATTAAGTACTCTTATTTTCATAGTTATATCAATTTACCAGGATAAAATAAAAATTCAAAAAGAAAGAACATTGATATTGAAAAATCGGCATTTTTATTTGGTATTTAAGTATCAGCGAGTTCTTATGATTGTAAACAAGTTTTACCAAAGGATTTTCTGGTTCATTTAAATAACTGGATAATTTTTTGCATGTTTTAGACCGAAAATAGATTTTTTCGGTTTTCTCTTCAAATAATTGAAAGAATGATACTATTATAGGTGTATTATATTATATAGCATAAAATCATGCTATAGCCGAAAATTATAAGTTTTGAGAAGATTGAATATAACACAAATAAATTTGAATGTAAGTTAAATTGCTTGTTGTTTTTAATAGCTACTTAATGAGAAATCCAATATTGCAAAATTGAAATTGAATGATTGAAAGAACAGAAAAAGTCATTCTTTTCAATTTCGAATATGTTTCATTGTATTTATAATTATATGGCAAATAAGATATTTAAACTTGATTTTTGAAGGGAGATTCACAAAATTGAATGAATTCAAATAATTTTTATTCAAAAATAAACTAGTTATTTGAGTTTAATACTAATTATCTATTCAAACTACAAAGTTTGTAATTTAAAATATTTTGTGAGATCAGATTGAATTAATTCAAGGTTCTTTTCAATTAATATTCATGACCATATTACGCATTTTCGAACATTCTAAACCAAATATATAAAAATGGGAGACGAATGTTAAAATTGCTAGACATGGGGGAGTTGTCTGCAAAGTTTTAGCTCTTATCTCTAACAAAAAATTAATTTTTAAAAAAAAGACCGAATACGTTTCACAGCGAGAAAAAAATAAAAGGCAAGATAGAATTTTCTAGACATAAAGAAGTTGTTTACCGAGTTTTAGCTCTTATCTCTAACAAAAAATTAATTTTTAAAAAAAAGACCGAATACGTTTCACAGCGAGAAAAAAATAAAAGGCAAGATAGAATTTTCTAGACATAAAGAAGTTGTTTACCGAGTTTTAGCTCTTATCTCTAACAAAAAATTAATTTTTAAAAAAAAGACCGAATACGTTTCACAGCGAGAAAAAAATAAAAGGCAAGATAGAATTTTCTAGACATAAAGAAGTTGTTTACCGAGTTTTAGCTCTTATCTCTAACAAAAAATTAATTTTTAAAAAAAAGACCGAATACGTTTCACAGCGAGAAAAAATAAAAAGGCAAGATAGAATTTTCTAGACATAAAGAAGTTGTTTACCGAGTTTTAGCTCTTATCTCTAACAAAAAATTAATTTTTTAAAAAAAAGACCGAATACGTTTCACAGCGAGAAAAAATAAAAGGCAAGATAGAATTTTCTAGACATAAAGAAGTTGTTTACCGAGTTTTAGCTCTTATCTCTAACAAAAAATTAATTTTTAAAAAAAAGACCGAATACGTTTCACAGCGAGAAAAAAATAAAAGGCAAGATAGAATTTTCTAGACATAAAGAAGTTGTTTACCGAGTTTTAGCTCTTATCTCTAACAAAAAATTAATTTTTAAAAAAAAGACCGAATACGTTTCACAGCGAGAGAAAAAAATAAAAGGCAAGATAGAATTTTCTAGACATAAAGAAGTTGTTTACGAGTTTTAGCTCTTATCTCTAACAAAAAATTAATTTTTAAAAAAAAAGACCGAATACGTTTCACAGCGAGAAAAAAATAAAAGGCAAGATAGAATTTTCTAGACATAAAGAAGTTGTTTACCGAGTTTTAGCTCTTTATCTCTAACAAAAAATTAATTTTTAAAAAAAAAGACCGAATACGTTTCACAGCGAGAAAAAATAAAAGGCAAGATAGAATTTTCTAGACATAAAGAAGTTGTTTACCGAGTTTTAGCTCTTATCTCTAACAAAAATTAATTTTTAAAAAAAAGACCGAATACGTTTCACAGCGAGAAAAAAATAAAAGGCAAGATAGAATTTTCTAGACATAAAGAAGTTGTTTACCGAGTTTTAGCTCTTATCTCTAACAAAAAATTAATTTTTAAAAAAAAAGACCGAATACGTTTCACAGCGAGAAAAAAATAAAAGGCAAGATAGAATTTTCTAGACATAAAGAAGTTGTTTACCGAGTTTTAGCTCTTATCTCTAACAAAAAATTAATTTTTAAAAAAAAGACCGAATACGTTTCACAGCGAGAAAAAAATAAAAGGCAAGATAGAATTTTCTAGACATAAAGAAGTTGTTTACCGAGTTTTAGCTCTTATCTCTAACAAAAAATTAATTTTTAAAAAAAAGACCGAATACGTTTCACAGCGAGAAAAAAATAAAAGGCAAGATAGAATTTTCTAGACATAAAGAAGTTGTTTACCGAGTTTTAGCTCTTATCTCTAACAAAAAATTAATTTTTAAAAAAAGACCGAATACGTTTCACAGCGAGAAAAAAATAAAAGGCAAGATAGAATTTTCTAGACATAAAGAAGTTGTTTACCGAGTTTTAGCTCTTATCTCTAACAAAAAATTAATTTTTAAAAAAAAGACCGAATACGTTTCACAGCGAGAAAAAAATAAAAGGCAAGATAGAATTTTCTAGACATAAAGAAGTTGTTTACCGAGTTTTAGCTCTTATCTCTAACAAAAAATTAATTTTTAAAAAAAAGACCGAATACGTTTCACAGCGAGAAAAAAATAAAAGGCAAGATAGAATTTTCTAGACATAAAGAAGTTGTTTACCGAGTTTTAGCTCTTATCTCTAACAAAAAATTAATTTTTAAAAAAAAGACCGAATACGTTTCACAGCGAGAAAAAAATAAAAGGCAAGATAGAATTTTCTAGACATAAAGAAGTTGTTTGCCGAGTTTTAGCTCTTATCTCTAACAAAAAATTAATTTTTAAAAAAAAGACCGAATACGTTTCACAGCGAGAAAAAAATAAAAGGCAAGATAGAATTTTCTAGACATAAAGAAGTTGTTTACCGAGTTTTAGCTCTTATCTCTAACAAAAAATTAATTTTAAAAAAAAGACCGAATACGTTTCACAGCGAGAAAAAAATAAAAGGCAAGATAGAATTTTCTAGACATAAAGAAGTTGTTTACCGAGTTTTAGCTCTTATCTCTAACAAAAAATTAATTTTTAAAAAAAAGACCGAATACGTTTCACAGCGAGAAAAAAATAAAAGGCAAGATAGAATTTTCTAGACATAAAGAAGTTGTTTACCGAGTTTTAGCTCTTATCTCTAACAAAAATTAATTTTTAAAAAAAAGACCGAATACGTTTCACAGCGAGAAAAAAATAAAAGGCAAGATAGAATTTTCTAGACATAAAGAAGTTGTTTACCGAGTTTTAGCTCTTATCTCTAACAAAAAATTAATTTTTAAAAAAAAGACCGAATACGTTTCACAGCGAGAAAAAAATAAAAGGCAAGATAGAATTTTCTAGACATAAAGAAGTTGTTTACCGAGTTTTAGCTCTTATCTCTAACAAAAAATTAATTTTTAAAAAAAAGACGAATACGTTTCACAGCGAGAAAAAAATAAAAGGCAAGATAGAATTTTCTAGACATAAAGAAGTTGTCTACCAAGTGTCAGCTGTTACTTCTTCTCAATACTGTTATAAAATAAAAATCTTTATTATTTATTTAACCTTTATTGTTTCATTAAACTTCATTTATTTTATATTATAGTTTTATTCTTTTAGCTACTTGTAAACTAATCTAATTTTATATCTTCATTTTACCGGATTATTCTTCAGTACATCGATTGTGTATCTAAAATAATATCATTATCCTTATTCTGTTTTTTCCAAAATTCTTTTAAATATCTTTTTTGGTTAGATTACTTTATACTTTTTACTTTTATTTTTTAATTTCAAAAAAAAATTTGGTGATTGTTCTATTCTGTTACAATGTGCATTATCATATTCTAATGAATTATTCATTACATACATTTAAAAAAACTTGTTAAAAATGAAATTAAAAAATTATGTTTATTATTACGCTGTGAATGTGTCAACAGCGGTCATGCCTGTATCTGTATCCCATATTTGCCACAACCTTTCTGTATCTGCATTTGTGTATTTCGGTTTCAGCTGATACATTTGATTTGGCGTGTAATTTGTTCCAGTTAATGAATTAATTGGGAGATCTTCATGCGGTGTGTTATTATTGTACTCCCAAATAAAGGCAGGAATAGCCTGAATGCTTTGGCAGCGCTCCAATGTCGGCCAGAATCTCTCAATCTTCCCATTTTGGTAGGGAGAATGAGAGTCTGTATGCCGCCATTGGACGCCCCAAAGATCAAGTAGATCTTGAAAGGCGCCCCTATTTTCTGAACCGTTGTCGGTCCAGAAACAATAAGGGGCGCCAAATTCAATGAAGGCGGAAGCCGCAACGTTCGCTGTCGTCGCTGCCAGCATATCTGGTATTTGTATACACGCTAGGACTTTGCGGCTAAAATCATCGATTATGCCATAAATATACTGGCCACGAACACCCCTAAAATAATGAACATCTGCGTGCCAGATAAGATTGGGTGAAAGCGCCCAATATCTTACTGCTGTTTCTGGCCCGGCATGCTCTAATCGCGTCTTGGTGAAATGATTTTCTTTGAAGTATCTGCGTACTTCTCTATAAGATACATCAATTTGTTGTAATTTCAAACGTTTCCATTGTTTTGTTTGACCACAGGGAAAGGCCCAGTGGTCATGTATCACAGCAAGAGCTTTGATTTGGTCGTAGGGATTGACCCTACGACCTTTCTTGCCTTTAGGCAATGGGATATTCTGTAAGCTAAATTGATTTTGTAAAAAAGATTTTGAAACATCTAAATATTTGAAATCATTTGATTGAAGGGTTGGGGCGATGGGAACATGGGTGCAAGCTTCTTCCCATGTCATTTTACCTTCTTCAATCTGATTGGAAATACCAATTAGGTAAATTCGATCGACATACCCTTTGTAAGGATTCATTCTAATGAAGTACGTTAACAATCAAAATATTCTATAAGTGTCTAGTATGGAATTCAAAAGAATAAAGAAAATGGTAACGTAAATAAACGTATTACGAAATAATTTATAATTAAAATGAAAAAAAGAAAAAATAATAAGTAAAGTGACTGGAAATGAAAATGAAAATCAGTGTACAGTTTTATTTTTTTCTCGCTGTGAAACGTATTCGGTCTTTTTTTTAAAAATTAATTTTTGTTAGAGATAAGAGCTAAAACTCGGTAAACAACTTCTTTATGTCTAGAAAATTCTATCTTGCCTTTTATTTTTTTCTCGCTGTGAAACGTATTCGGTCTTTTTTTTAAAAATTAATTTTTTGTTAGAGATAAGAGCTAAAACTCGGTAAACAACTTCTTTATGTCTAGAAAATTCTATCTTGCCTTTTATTTTTTTCTCGCTGTGAAACGTATTCGGTCTTTTTTTTAAAAATTAATTTTTTGTTAGAGATAAGAGCTAAAACTCGGTAAACAACTTCTTTATGTCTAGAAAATTCTATCTTGCCTTTTATTTTTTTCTCGCTGTGAAACGTATTCGGTCTTTTTTTTAAAAATTAATTTTTTGTTAGAGATAAGAGCTAAAACTCGGTAAACAACTTCTTTATGTCTAGAAAATTCTATCTTGCCTTTTATTTTTTTCTCGCTGTGAAACGTATTCGGTCTTTTTTTTAAAAATTAATTTTTTGTTAGAGATAAGAGCTAAAACTCGGTAAACAACTTCTTTATGTCTAGAAAATTCTATCTTGCCTTTTATTTTTTTCTCGCTGTGAAACGTATTCGGTCTTTTTTTTAAAAATTAATTTTTTGTTAGAGATAAGAGCTAAAACTCGGTAAACAACTTCTTTATGTCTAGAAAATTCTATCTTGCCTTTTATTTTTTTCTCGCTGTGAAACGTATTCGGTCTTTTTTTTAAAAATTAATTTTTGTTAGAGATAAGAGCTAAAACTCGGTAAACAACTTCTTTATGTCTAGAAAATTCTATCTTGCCTTTTATTTTTTTCTCGCTGTGAAACGTATTCGGTCTTTTTTTAAAAATTAATTTTTTGTTAGAGATAAGAGCTAAAACTCGGTAAACAACTTCTTTATGTCTAGAAAATTCTATCTTGCCTTTTATTTTTTTCTCGCTGTGAAACGTATTCGGTCTTTTTTTTAAAAATTAATTTTTTGTTAGAGATAAGAGCTAAAACTCGGTAAACAACTTCTTTATGTCTAGAAAATTCTTTTTTTTATTTTTTTCTCGCTGTGAAACGTATTCGGTCTTTTTTTTAAAAATTAATTTTTTGTTAGAGATAAGAGCTAAAACTCGGTAAACAACTTCTTTATGTCTAGAAAATTCTATCTTGCCTTTTATTTTTTCTCGCTGTGAAACGTATTCGGTTTTTTTTTAAAAATTAATTTTTTGTTAGAGATAAAGAGCTAAAACTCGGTAAAACAACTTCTTTATGTCTAGAAAATTCTATCTTGCCTTTTATTTTTTTCTCGCTGTGAAACGTATTCGGTCTTTTTTTTAAAAATTAATTTTTTGTTAGAGATAAGAGCTAAAACTCGGTAAACAACTTCTTTATGTCTAGAAAATTCTATCTTGCCTTTTATTTTTTTCTCGCTGTGAAACGTATTCGGTCTTTTTTTTAAAAATTAATTTTTTGTTAGAGATAAGAGCTAAAACTCGGTAAACAACTTCTTTATGTCTAGAAAATTCTATCTTGCCTTTTATTTTTTCTCGCTGTGAAACGTATTCGGTCTTTTTTTTTAAAAATTAATTTTTTGTTAGAGATAAGAGCTAAAACTCGGTAAACAACTTCTTTATGTCTAGAAAATTCTATCTTGCCTTTTATTTTTTTCTCGCTGTGAAACGTATTCGGTCTTTTTTTTAAAAATTAATTTTTTGTTAGAGATAAGAGCTAAAACTCGGTAAACAACTTCTTTATGTCTAGAAAATTCTATCTTGCCTTTTATTTTTTCTCGCTGTGAAACGTATTCGGTCTTTTTTTTAAAAATTAATTTTTTGTTAGAGATAAGAGCTAAAACTCGGTAAACAACTTCTTTATGTCTAGAAAATTCTATCTTGCCTTTTATTTTTTTCTCGCTGTGAAACGTATTCGGTCTTTTTTTTAAAAATTAATTTTTTGTTAGAGATAAGAGCTAAAACTCGGTAAACAACTTCTTTATGTCTAGAAAATTCTATCTTGCCTTTTATTTTTTTCTCGCTGTGAAACGTATTCGGTCTTTTTTTTAAAAATTAATTTTTTGTTAGAGATAAGAGCTAAAACTCGGTAAACAACTTCTTTATGTCTAGAAAATTCTATCTTGCCTTTTATTTTTTTCTCGCTGTGAAACGTATTCGGTCTTTTTTTTAAAAATTAATTTTTTGTTAGAGATAAGAGCTAAAACTTTGCAGACAACTCCCCCATGTCTAGCAATTTTAACATTCGTCTCCCATTTTTATATATTTGGTTTAGAATGTTCGAAAATGCGTAATATGGTCATGAATATTAATTGAAAAGAACCTTGAATTAATTCAATCTGATCTCACAAAATATTTTAAATTACAAACTTTGTAGTTTGAATAGATAATTAGTATTAAACTCAAATAACTAGTTTATTTTTGAATAAAAATTATTTGAATTCATTCAATTTTGTGAATCTCCCTTCAAAAATCAAGTTTAAATATCTTATTTGCCATATAATTATAAATACAATGAAACATATTCGAAATTGAAAAGAATGACTTTTTCTGTTCTTTCAATCATTCAATTTCAATTTTGCAATATTGGATTTCTCATTAAGTAGCTATTAAAAACAACAAGCAATTTAACTTACATTCAAATTTATTTGTGTTATATTCAATCTTCTCAAAACTTATAATTTTCGGCTATAGCATGATTTTATGCTATATAATATAATACACCTATAATAGTATCATTCTTTCAATTATTTGAAGAGAAAACCGAAAAAATCTATTTTCGGTCTATAACAGGATAACTTTTTGCAACAATTTCTGAATTAACTGGACAAACATGAAGTTTTTTAATTATCCCTCCTGCTAATAGTATATGATTTAAATATATCTGCAATTTGGCTGTTCTCATTGGTTCCAAATTTATCGTAGATGCAAATTAGGAATTTCGTATTAATTTTAACATATAAATCGAGAATATTAAATAAGAAACAACAATATTAGAGATTTAGTAAATTTTAATCCTTTGAATAGTTGAATGGTGCGATCAGACAATCAAAAATAAAGCATTTGAATGCGTAACAGGTTGTATATATTCAATTTTTCAGAGACTATTGAATTTTTGTCGTTACGGAAAAACCATAGGAGTTCATTTTAGAACAATGACAGATTACCTCCCCGTCATCCAAGTAGGTGTTGCAATGCTTCTCATCATTGCTGTTGGATTTATTTTAGCAAAGCTAAAGATAGTTACCCTCAAAGATTCAGGTCCATTAAATAGCGTTGTGTTTTTTATTGGTTTTATGCCACTTATTATCAGAGGTATAGCTCCCAAGAAACTTGCAGAGCTTGATTTCAAGCCATTCGGTATTGCAGCTTTGATGAGTATCTCAACTTATTGTGCGGTCGCTTTTATGATGATTTATCCATTCGAAGATAGAATGAAAATGTACTTGTCAACTGTTTTCCCGACAGCTTATATCAACTACATCATTTCTGGTATCCCAGTTTTCAATGCTCTTTGGCCAGCTAAAGAGAATGTCATGGTTTCTATGATGATGATTTCTAACGATCTTATTTCATCACCAATCTTCTTGATTATGGTCGGTATTTACAACGTTATCGCTGGAAACAGAAAAAGAGTCGAAAATGGCTTACCACCCGAGAAATTCTCACTTAAGATCATCGGAAAGGTTCTCTTGAACGTAGTTAAGAGCCCAATTCTCATTGGTAACGTTATCGGTATTTGTTATTCCGCATGCAATATTGAATACCCAATTTTCTTAGACAGATTGTTCCAATACGCCGGTGATATGGTCTTTGCACTTGCTCTTATTTGCGTTGGTGTCTTCCTTGCTCAGCATTCTTTAATTTCATGCGGTTGGATTCAATTTATCTTCTGTTTGATCGTAAGAATGTTCATTGGTTCAATCTTCGCTGGTTTATGGTGCAAGGCACTTGGAATGAGCAACAGACTTTCAAGACAGTGCATGATTATTGGTGCACAGCCAACAGCTGTTGCTTCTTACGCTTTAACATCAGGTGCTCACATGGGCGAAGGTGTTGCCTCAACAATGATTTTCTGGACAACAGTTCTTTGTGTTCCAGCAATTATAGTATGGTTCAGTGTATTGAATGGTCTTCATATATATGAAGATTGAAACTAATTCCGAACCATAATACCTTATAATACTATTTGTAATGTATTAATTAAATGTTTTTTTCTATCCTTTATGAATTTCCTTCTTTTTAAATGATTACAAGATCTAAAATAAAAATAATTTCATCACAGCCATTATATTCTTTGTGTTTCATCTGATTTTCGTATGTTGGAAAAGATAAAAGTAAAAGATTTGTCCAAAAATGCAAAGTAAAATACAAAATTTTGATTCAATGAATTAATACAATAAATTACTAAATTCATTTTCGGAAAACGCGCCATTTTTTGATTGAAAATCGATTTTTATTCAAAAAAAGTTCACCTTTTCTTGTGGTGCTGATTTTACTAAAAAGCGACACATTTGAATTGAATTCAATTCTGTCACTTTTTAGTAAAATCCCAAATTTTTGTTGGTAAATTCATTTTTTTTGTCTTGAATACATACGTCTGATCAATACACTCTTCCAAAGCAATATAGTGATTTGATAAGATCTTACAAATACAATATCGATTCATATGTATCGTTGTATCAGTTAAAAACCCAAAATGAAGAAGAAACACACTTAATTTACAATATGATCAAAACGGGATTGATTGATTCAAAGGAATATCTCCCACACATGGTTGTAAAATACATTTTAAACATCATCCAATTTAATAATCGATATGTGAAATCATACATGGCCATAGCTAAATTTATTCAACATTATATATGATATTCCATCACTTTGCAAATATTATTTCTTTCACTTGGTGCAAATATCAATTCATTTGATAAATACGGAAGAACAGCTTTTTACATAGCAGCATTTTATAACTGTAAAGAAATTGTCGAACTTCTTCTCTCGCATAACATAAATATCAAAGAAGAATATATTATTTTTAATACAGCAGTAATTAATAATAGTAGAGAGGTTGCTGAATTACTTCTAACACATGGAGTAGATATCAATGGAAAAGATAAACATGATAATACAGTACTTCATAATGCAGCATTTTCAAATAATAAAGAAGCAGGGCTTATTCTTCTTTCACATGGTGCAAATGTTCATGAAAAAAATTTCAGCGATTCAACTGCCCTTCATATTGCAACATCAATGAAAAAGACGGAGGTGGAAAAACTGCGCTTACTATCGCAGCATATTAGAAAAGTACAGAACTAATTGCGTTTCTTCTTTCGCATGGAGCAACTATCAGTGAAAGAGATAGATACTACATGTATAGTAATGGAAAATAATAATAAAAAAATCTTCGTCATCCTACATTTCCAAATTTTGAGAGTTTTATATTTTCTTCATCACGAATGATTTATTGTATAATAAAGAGAGCTCCAAAATATCCTTTATTATTTACTTATGACCATTTAATAAAAAATATCATGTCACCTTTAGAACAGTAAGTTAGAAATATATAATTTTTTTATGATTCATTAAATCAATATGAGGCTTTGAAGCATCTTCAAATTGAAGTCTGGTTCATATAATATCATAACGGAAATTCTCATCAGTCTTATTAATCTCCAAACAATATGAAAGTATGTGCATCTTAGAATAAACTCTATCGTAGTTAAATGACTCAGATTTTTTACAGCTATTTTTTATTTTTAATGAAATAAATATAAGAAAATATTATAAGAACAAAGAAAAGAATCTTTTGAATGAAGATGGAACATTATAATATTTTTGCACCATGTGAAAGAAGAATATTGGCTGTTTCTTCACTATCATGCTCTATTGCATAGTGAAGAGGCGTTTTCCCAACTATATCTTTTATGCTGAAATCCGCACCATATGAAATAAGAAGTTCGGCTGCATTTTCTACATTATTTACTGCGGCATAATGGAGAGCGGTTTTCCCATCTCTATCTTTTTCATTGACATCCACACCATATGAAATAAGAATTTTGATTACACTTCTTCTATCATTTTCTGCGGCATAATGAAGAACGGTTTTTCCATCATTATCTTTTGCATAAATAGTTGCTCCATGTGAAAGAAGAAAATCAGCTGTTTCCTTTCTATGAAAAAGTATTGCTGAAATAAGAGCTGTTTCTTCATATTTATTTCTTTCATTGATATTTGCACCATGTGAAAGAAGAAATTCAGCTATTTATTTGTTACCGCTTTCTGCTGCATAATGAAGAACTGTGTCTCCGTATTTATCTTTTTCATTGATGTTTGCACCAAGTAAAATAAGAATTTCGGCTGTTTCTTTGTTATCGTGACGCATTGCAATATGAAGAGCAGTGTTTCCATCTTTACCTTTTTCATTAATATTTGCACCATGTGAAATAAGAAGTTTAACTGTTTCTATATCATTTCTTTTTGCTGCAATATGAAGAGCAGTGTTTCCATCTTTACCTTTTTCATTGATTTTTGCACCATGCAAAATAAAAAGTTCTACTATGTCTTTCATATAAACTATTGCAAGGTAAAAAGCTGTCTCCCCATTTTTATCTTTTTCATTGACATTTGCACCATGTGAAATAAGAACTTCGGCTATTTCTTTACATTTTTTGATTGACTGCATAATGAAGTGCAGTTTTCATATCTTCATCTTTTTCATTGATATTTGCACCATGTGAAATTAGAAGTTCGGCTGTTTCTTTACTATTATAATATGCCGCTAAATGAAGAGCGTTTTGTCCATAATTATATTTATCATTGATATTTGCACCATGTGAAATAAGAAGTTCGGCGGTTTCTTTACTATTATACCATGCTGCAAAATGAAGAGTCGTTCGCATATATGAATCTTTTTCATTGATATTTGCACCATGTGAAATAAGAAATTCGGCCATTTCTTTTCTATTAAAACGCGCTGCATAATGAAGAGCGGTTTGTCCATCATTATCTTTTTTATTGATATTTGCACCATGTGAAATAAGAAATTCGGCCATTTCTTTTCTATTAAAACGCGCTGCATAATGAAGAGCGGTTTGTCCATCATTATCTTTTTTATTGATATTTGCACCACGTGAAATAAGAAGTTCGACTATTTCTTTATTGTTATTTTTTGCTGCAATACTAAGAGGAGTTGGCTGATATTTAGCTGTTGCATTGGCATTTGCACCAAGCGAAAGGAAATATTCGCAAAGGGATGGAATATCAAAAAATGCTGAGTAACTAAAGCATTTGTCAATTTTATTAGTTTGATCGAAATAAACTAAAAATAATTCAAGATTATTTAATTTTGTGCAACATTTTAAATTGATCTTCATGTTGTATTCATCAAGAATGTGACGAAATCAATGCTGTGTAAAATAATTGCATATTTCATGCAATCTTCATTTGGTTTCTGATATTTCAAACATTCACTCATGATCTCTGGATTTCCTCCTATAAATGAAAATTCTAGACATTGTTCAGTTATTTTTGAGTTAAATTTTGTTCTTATGAACTTGAAACAATCAACTGCTCCGTGGTAACAACATAATTCAAGTAATCCGCATCCAAGGCCAGGTTTTGGATATAAACTGCTATAATATTTTTGATCTTTATCAAATCCTTTTTTTCTGTGAATGAGATGAATAGTTTTTTGTCATTACACATAATTGCTCTGACAATTGCATTTTCTGAATTAATTTCTAGATCTTTGAATATCATATTTTTGAATTTACAAGATTTGTCTAAATGAATTCCATATTCTTTATAAAACAGGTAGTTAGGAGTATCTTCCAATCCATGGACCTCTTTGACATGATAATCATCAGATATGAGTTTGGCAAGAGTTAAATATGACTTTGTATAGGGATTTCTATACATAATAAGATTTAATATATCTCTTATAATAATTGTGGGGCTGTATTTCTGTGAATCAAGCAATTCTGCTTTGATCGTTTTGTAAATCTTGTTAAGTTCTTCTTCTTTTTCCGTTTTCAGCTGACACAAAGCAATATGTGAATCTATGTGGTATTTAAAGATACTTCATAATTCACAGTATTTGCTTGGATGAATGTCTTGATCAGACATTAAAAAATTTTTAAAACGACCCACTTTCATTTAACCATATAAAACATCTTTGTAATTCATTTTGAGGAAAAAGTACCATTATGTGCATGTGAAAAACCCTAAATTCATAAATTTCGGATTAGATTTATGAATTTTGATTAAGTTCAAAGATATTAAATGTCACAGCGACAAAAGCTAAGTCCAAAGCAATAAAATATTCATCAGAATTTTGATAATATTACCCTACTTTCCCAACATTTAGAATAAGGTTATTGCCCTAAAATTCAGTTATAGACACTTAGGAGAGCATTTAAGCCATGATATTTTGGCATATGATAGAGAAACATCTTATAAACATTTTCAGTATGTTTTCCTATAAAATAACGATCTCACATGAAATTACTAAAATATCAAATTTTGATTTTCACTTTAAAGTTGGGAGAATACTCTACAGTGACAGGGTATACAATTTTAACCTTTGTTTTGATTATAAATAAAGTATTGATAGAGATATGAGTTGTACAGAATTATACACGTGTGTTTAATCAAATGTAAGTTGTGCAACAATAATGATTAGCTAGATAGTATATTAAGGAACTGTGATTTATGATCTAATTCAATAAGATGTAAATGATATTCAAATATATTAAATAAATGCGAATGTTCAAGATGTGAAATCAGTTAGTTAATTGTTGTATATAGATATTTTACTGTGATTAATGAATTTTTTAACAATTTAAAATTATCAAATTTCAAAATATGCGCAATGAGATAATTTGAGAGTATTTTGAGAACTGAAGACTTATGATTTAGTGTTTTTGAATAAGCACATCAATATAAAGATAGAAAATAAATTGAGATATAATTTTTTTGAAGGTATTATAAGGGTGGAGGTAGTAGGATAAATTTTTAATGTTCTATACTTTCATGGCAAATAATTAAATAGAAGTAAAACTTTGTTTTAAGAATTGAAAATTTTAAATAAAAAAGGAATGTTAGTAATGCTAATTTATTTGATTCCGGGGGACACCCCGGTTATCAAATATATTTATTAAAATGGAAAATCTCTCACTTTTCGAAAAAATCGAAACTGCAAGGATCTCCGATTCTCGATATGATAATTTATTTGATTCCGGGGGACGCCCCGGTTATCAAATATATTTATTAGAACGGAAAATCTCTCACTTTTCGAAAAAATCGAAACTGCAAGGATCTCCGATTCTCGATATGATAATTTATTTGATTCCGGGGGACGCCCCGGTTATCAAATATATTTATTAGAACGGAAAATCTCTCACTTTTCGAAAAAATCGAAACTGCAAGGATCTCCGATTCTCGATATGATAATTTATTTGATTCCGGGGGACGCCCCGGTTATCAAATATATTTATTAGAACGGAAAATCTCTCACTTTTCGAAATTTTTTTTAACAAAAATATGGCATTCTTAAATTATAGTTACATGTTATTTCACAATCATTATCATTAAAAAATTCAATTATTCAAGTTGTTTTGTCCCGACGGTTTTTACGGTTATAAAAATGGTTGCGAACTCAATCCATCAGCAAAATGTCGGTTGGGGTGCCCTTCTTGGCCTCCTGAGTACTCACCAAGATACCCCCAGCTCCCGCAAAACACCTCCCTTAGGTGAGCATTAACTGATGACATGAGTTAACAATTCTACAAAATCATCAAGCATGAAGGTTTATGATTTATAAATCAAAATCTCAGAAACTGCTTGACTTTGCAAGTTGCTGTCTTTACCGGTTACTCTGCTGCAATCTCTTTTCTGATTGCAGGCAGAGTTCTGCATCCTGAGGACTTTGCCTTGCAGATATGCTTGTAATCACTACGTGAGCAACTTGGTGTTGCAAGTTGCTGTCTTTACCGGTTACTCTGCTGCAATCTCTTTTCTGATTGCAGGCAAAGTTCTGCATCCTGAGGACTTTGCCTTGCAGATATGCTTGTAATCACTACGTGAGCAACTTGGTGTTGCAAGTTGCTGTCTTTACCGGTTAGCTTTTTTTGAAGTTTCTTCGCATCTTATATAAGCTCTAGATCAATATTTATCATCAGAATTTGCATCTCATAAAGCACATATTAATCAAATAGGCAAATTTCATTCGGAGTCTCTCATTAAATGAGAAACTCCGAATGAGATTTGCTCTAAGGTAATGTACTTGTTATGCTTGGCCTAGAAGCAAGGAGGAAACATGTATATGGTTTGTTTATACTGAAGTTATCTGGAATTCTCTCAATTGAGGATTCAAATCCAGATAACAGCAGTATAAGTTAATATTGTTGTGCACCTCAGGTTGTTTATAGGCCCGAGAACGAGAAAAGAATTTATGGTGTGAATTGGCTCGATATATACCTACGCTCTGTAAAAAATACGTTATATTTTCTTTCATATGAGAAAAATGTTTTTCTTTTTTATAATACTATGTGCTTTGTTACTTCATAAATTGTCTATTTTTCTTATTAAAACCTATTTTTTCCGTGTGATTCGGAATCTACGCATTCAAAAAATGCGTTTTCCGCTCTCAGAACGCGAAAATATGAACTACATGACGAGATAAATCGATTTATTATGTTCCTAAATATTCTCATTTTTCAATCTTGCTCAATACTCAAAAATAAGCAGACTCTCAAATAGAGAACATAAAATAACTCATATTTATCATATTAAAATTTTGAAAAAGTCTCCCGAAAAAATCATATTTCGAAAATTTCAAAAAAATAAGTACATTTTTCGCCAAAGAAAAAAGAAAAATGTTTTTTTTTTGAATTTTTGATGATAATATGCACTCCTGACGGTCGCAGTGTCTCATTCCGGGAGACATTGCCTGTGCATGTCTCCCAGAATGGCATACTGTTCCGCATTCATAACTTGAATGCGGAACTTTGACCGACAAGAGTGCATTGTGCACTCTTGTTGGTCTGCATGTGTCATTCCGGGAGACATTGCCTGTGCATGTCTCCCAGAATGGCAATTTATTGCAATCAGAATACGATTGCAACTTTGACCGACAAGAGTGCATTGTGCACTCTTGTTGGTCTGCATGTGTCATTCCGGGAGACATTGCCTGTGCATGTCTCCCAGAATGGCATACTGTTCCGCATTCATAACTTGAATGCGGAACTTTGACCGACAAGAGTGCATTGTGCACTCTTGTTGGTCTGCATGTGTCATTCCGGGAGACATTGCCTGTGCATGTCTCCCAGAACGAGACAATTTATTGCAATCAGAATACGATTGCAAAACTTTGACCGACAAGAGTGCATTGTGCACTCTTGTTTGTCATCCACTATGATACTTAGAGAAAATACTTTACTTACATTATTTAAAATATTAATTTCCCTATTTAATATTTATTTATTATTTTTTGTGCTTTATATTCCCTATGGCATGTACTGAACTATTTTATAGACTCTACCGAGCTATCTCCACATATAAACATTTGACAATAACACATATATACTCTCTTCATATTCTAGTCTCATGACATATTATTGCAAAAGCTATATTTATACAGCATACCTCATAAAGTCTCATTATATCCCTATCTAAGCGTTCAAAACCTATTTTCCCCACGTAATCTGATTCTTCAGGCTCCGCTGATTCGATTTCTGCTGTCAGATCGTGAAAATATGAATCACATAACAAGATAAACACAAATCCAAAATAATAATGTTTTCTTCAAATTGACTCTTCCACGATATTCATATATTTGTTATTAATTCCGTTTTCCCTTACAAATGTATTTAATTTTCTGAATAATACGTATTATAAAATGAATATCTCAAAAACTAAATTAAAAAATTAATACTGGGTAATAACTAGATATATTGTGACTTTTTGAATTCACACACTTTTGGAAAAAATTGAATTTTTCTAAAATGATGTTGTTTGAACATGACTTAAAGAGTTTTTTTACGGAAAATATCAAGTTGGGTAACTTGTGTTTATCTTGTTATGTGATTCATATTTTCACGATCTGACAGCAGAAATCGAATCAGCGGAGCCTGAAGAATCAGATTACGTGGGGAAAATAGGTTTTGAACGCTTAGATAGGGATATAATGAGACTTTATGAGGTATGCTGTATAAATATAGCTTTTGCAATAATATGTCATGAGACTAGAATATGAAGAGAGTATATATGTGTTATTGTCAAATGTTTATATGTGGAGATAGCTCGGTAGAGTCTATAAAATAGTTCAGTACATGCCATAGGGAATATAAAGCACAAAAAATAATAAATAAATATTAAATAGGGAAATTAATATTTTAAATAATGTAAGTAAAGTATTTTCTCTAAGTATCATAGTGGATGACAAACAAGAGTGCACAATGCACTCTTGTCGGTCAAAGTTTTGCAATCGTATTCTGATTGCAATAAATTGTCTCGTTCTGGGAGACATGCACAGGCAATGTCTCCCGGAATGACACATGCAGACCAACAAGAGTGCACAATGCACTCTTGTCGGTCAAAGTTCCGCATTCAAGTTATGAATGCGGAACAGTATGCCATTCTGGGAGACATGCACAGGCAATGTCTCCCGGAATGACACATGCAGACCAACAAGAGTGAACAATCCGCTTTCTCCTTTGAAATCCAACATTCTAATCACATCTACATTAATAAATTGTTATAAAATACTAATCAAAGATCCAATACAATTCTACTATCTTATTCACACATTACCAATGTTAACACCTCTTATAACTTAAATTATTTCATAAAATTTGTTTTTATATCTTATTATTTTCTCATAATGCTTCTAATACATCTCTAATTTCTTACATTCAAACACCAATATCGTCATACTATCATAAGCACTTAATTTTTTCAAAATTTTAGACTTAAATTTGAGCTACATTTTCATCATCATTTTTAGCCTTAAGCTTCTATAAGGTTATAATACATTATCGTAATATTCTAATATTTATGATTCTTACTACTCAATTCAATATAATCATATAAGTCACTCATAATCAGGAGCATAATTTAAAAATCTATAGCTCATATTTTGACAATTATATATATAGATGATGCATATTGCAATTCCGGTTTCAACACGATCAAATGTCAAACCATGATAAAATATATATCAATTTACAAAATATCGATTAACATTAGAATCCATATCTAATTCCATCAATGCACAAGTTGTAAATGCTTAATTCATCTTTGAGAAACGTGAATAGCACAATTTTATAAGATTATTTGTTGAATATTTAAAATATAAGCCAAATCGAATCTGCTGTATATTACTTTAGTTTATCATTGAATGTTAAATGTGTTCATATAAATATTTGAGTCAGATATCGCATTTTCTAATTTCAAAATTTATCTCATGAAGTTAGAATTTATTTGATCATACAACATCATATTAGTCAAACTAGAGTTCAATCGCGATTCCAAAATGGAACAATTGCTTGTTTTATCAAAATGTTAAAATATTAATCTAAAAAACTTAATATCTAACCAAAACATTCTAGAAATATCATATACAGGTATATGCAATCTAAATGCACACGAAATACTGAAAATTAAAAAGAATATTTATGAGATTATTAAATCTTATGCATTTCAATGAAGAGTCGATAATTATCATCTCTATAGGTTATATATCAACATATGAGTTTTTGGATTGACCACTACTATACTAATGTGATCAAATTAATCTGATTTCTTGAATTTTCATTTGAAGCATTCGCAGTAGTAGGAGTACCTTCATATATTAACATATTAAAAAATTGCGCCCAGATTCGCAGTTTAATCATGATTTTAAGATTGCATTAGATTTCGAAATGCAGAAAAAAATCACTTTAGATTTCCTTCAAACTCTAAGCATAAGCATGTCTCTATATGAGGAAACTATTTGAGCTATTCATTTGGCGGCCCAAAAACTCATGTTGCCTGAGCGCAGAAAATACCAATTTTTGGACCCTGGGTAGGGGGTCATGCATGTTTTCTAAATGTTGGAAAAGTAGGGTATATTTTCAGATTAATTCGATAAAATTTTTATATTTATGGCCCAAAGTACATGAATTTTGTACTAATAGATAATATCCCAACACTTGATATTGATTTTTATTATATCTGCTTTAAAATGCTAATTATCTATGAACAAACAGTCAATTAATTGAGTCTATCCTTGTGACATATTAACTAATTCAATATGATCTTTTTAGAAAATCAAAATTCATCAATAGGAGCTTAAAATATGTCATATTGAATCAGATGGGGAAGCATATCACGCACATTATTAATCCCAGTTCAAATTGAATTGAAAATGCTAATCAGGTCAGATTGAATGATAACAAAAAAAAATTTTTTTCAAGAAATAATATGAGTGATGAAAACAGTAACAATTTGCAAAATGAAGATCTCAGTAGCGATATCATGGCTTTGTTTAATATATTGAGTCGAATCGGAAATAGATTTCAGCAATATTTTTCACCAATTCTTCAAAATGAAAATATCAAAGCGCTTAGTGTAATTCTTAAAACGATGTATATGACAGATTGGCTTAAATATTTGTTACAGAACAGTATTTACAGAAAATGTATATATTATGGTGTAATTGCGTGGATTATTTTTGCAGATATAGCATTTACAAGAAGATTTTCAATACCATATTTAATATTAAATATTCCTCGAGCTATTATATCAGTATTATTTATTCCTTTCCATGTAAGTGTCTTGATATTAATCCTATTAATAAATTTAGATAGAAAAATTAATCATGTATTAACTAAGCCTTTTGTATATTTATGCTTTAGCGCTGGTTCCATTTCCTTTGAAATTTATCAAATAATTCTCAAAAATTTCAAGCATTGGAATAAACCTCTTCATGCTCCATTCAGCAGCGAATATATTCGAATACTTTGGATTAAATGGGGTCATCCATTTTGCAATACATGTTATAATATAAGTTGCAAAGTTTGGAAAGCCATCAGACCATCAGTCATCGTTTTGATTAAGTATTTAGTTTATATTTTATATGATATTTACTTGATTACTCTTCCACTTTTCAGAATCTGTTTTACAATTTGGTATTTTATTACAAGAGTAGCTTTAGCTATATTGTCATTAATTTTCACTATAGTCCATTCAATTATGTATACTTTTAGACTCTTATTTTCGGCAATATTTTAATATGAGGCTTTAAATACGGCTTCATAACTTTTATATGAAATATACTTTGTTTGTTATTTTGTTTTGTTATATTAAATCAATTGTTTATTAATGAAAATTAGATCTCCAAAAGTATCCAGCCTATTTCTATGATAATGTAGGTAACAATCTACAAAATCATATGGAATCACCATATGTTCTTGATTGTTTGTGTTTGTCTCCTAAGCTTGAAGATATTAGTAATTATTTTCAAAACATTTCCTTATTACGTAAATAAAGATGCTTATTTATTTGCTCTTTTAATTTGATGGACGATTTACAATTTTATTTATTTTATAAATGGGAGAGAATTCTCAAGTCCTTTTCATTGCTTTATATGAGAAATGCCAAACACACATCGAAGCATATGACAGTCTTCACAGGCTCGCAACAACAGATGAAAATGAGATCAGCCAAATTTATGAAAAGATTAAATCGATTTTGATAGAAAAGAACAAAATTGATCCATCAGTTATATTGTCAAATATCAGTTATCTATGTTATTATCGAAATTGCTATTTGAGGTCTTATTGGACAATATTTCAAAAGATTTATGAAGAATTTCAACCAAAATCTTTAAACAACATTGCAACCATATGTCAATATTTCCTTTTTAAAGAATATGGAGTAATTGTTGATAGAAATAAAGAAGATTATATCAAACAATTGATATTAGATAAAAATTATGAGCTTGACTTGCATGAAAATGGCTCGATTTTCAATATAATCATGCATGATGATAAAGAAAAATTTATATATGTTATAAATGGCGAAAGATTCAATGCTCACCAAGTTTTAGTGAATGATTTTTATCCAAAAGAAAAAATTGATTTGTTAGAACTCTGTTCTTATCACGGGGCTGTTGATTGCTTCAAGATATTGAGAACAAAGTTTAAATTACCAATAACACAGAATTGCTTGAGATTCTCTTTTCTCAGCGGAGTTCTTGATATAGTTAGTGAATGCTTGAAGTTCCAAAAAGTAGATAAAGAATGCATGAAATACGCCATTATTTCCCACAACATCGATTTCGTTGGATATTTGATGGATCAAGCCAACTATTTTATTAACTTAGACTTGTGCTTTGACTTCAATAATTTGTCAGCATTCTTCGTTTATCTTGATAAGACTAATGATGTTAATATTGGATTGATTTATGCGGTGAATTTCAATTTGTATTCGATTATTGATGTTTTAGTCTCGCATGGAGCTTCTTTGGATACTAAAGATGATGACGATGTAACTTTGTTGCATAGAGCTGCAACATGGAATTCAAAAGAAACAGCTCAGTTACTAATCTCTCATGGTGCTGATGTCAATGCTAAAATGAAAAATGGTGAAACTCCTCTTCATTTCGCTGCAAAGAAAAATAGCATAGAAACACTAAAACTGCTTATTGAAAACGGTGCTAATGTGAATATGAAATGCGAAAATGGAAGAACTGCTCTTCATTCAGCTGCTTTTTATAATAAGAAAGAATCTGCCGAGATTCTTATTGATAGTGGCTCTGATGTTAATTTCAAAGATCTTCGTGGGAAAACGCCACTGCATCTTGCTGCAATTAAAAATAGCCATGAAACTGCAAATCTTCTGATATCAAGAGGGTCAGAAGTAAACATTAAATGTGATGATGGCAAAACGCCACTTCATTACGCTGCAGAAATGAATAGCCAAGAGACTGTTCAAATTCTTATTTCAAATGGTGCAAAAGTTACAATTAAGGATAAAAATCTGAAAATTCCACTTCATTTTGCTGCATTTTGGGATAATACGAATACTGTGGATTTGTTAATTGATCATGGATCTGATTTTAACGATGTAGATCAAAATGGAAAGACTCCACTTCATTATGCAGCGTTTTGGAACTGTGCTGAAACAGCAAAGATATTAATTCTTTATGGAGCAGATATCGATTATGTAGATAATGATGGTGAAACTCCGATTGATATTGCTCTTAAAACAAATAGTTATAGTGCAGCACAAGTTCTTGTTTATTATGCAAATGAGTAAAATAATTGAAATTTATTCATTAAATATATATATATGCATCTATGAAATTGGACAAATCAATTATAATGTTAAACTTTAATTAATATTGACAATAATATAACATGAAAAGTTCACATAACTTCATAACTTTTATATTCCATTATGTAATGCTTGATTTAGGACATTAAGATCAAACAACTGAAATATGGACATGCATTAAAGATATTGATGTAACTCTATTGTATTTTAAGGATCAATCTTGGATTCATACATATTCTCAGCTAAAGAAATATATTAAATGAGTTTACTATTAGTAAATCACTAATTAAGAAAATTATGAACAAAAATTATATTTTTCATACGAACAGTATAATATTATAATGTAATTTAGGATAGATTATCGATTTCCAATTATATAATTTTATTATCCTTTGAACAACGATGAGATCAATAAGGAGAACTTTTTTGAGAAACATTCAAAAGTGTCATTATCCGAATTTAATGCAAGATATCTAATGTATAATATTTAAACAAAAAAGACTGCGATATAAAAAATACGTTAAATTTTTGCTTTGAAAAAATCGCGATAATTCAAACTTTGTTAGACACTAAGTCCGTGAAGCCTTCTCCTTCATTCAGATTAACTGGGAGTGTTGCTTTATTACCCAAATTTGAATTGAAGGATAAGCATAGCGAAGAATTTGAAGCTTTAGATGAACAAATACGAGTTTTAGATTATCAAACAAAAGAATTGATGAAAAAACTAACAAAACTTCATAAGAGGAGAACAAAATATGCGCATCTTATTACAGGTTTGCAGAAAAAATCTCATGAAGAGCAAGAAAAAAATAATAAAAGCAGATCAATTCAACAGCAGCAAGAAAGAATAGACAGATTAGGTGTTTGCACTCAATTGCTTGACAATAAAAGTCGATTATCAACTGCTGTTCGACTTCAGCCACTTCCAGAACTTCCACCTGTTAAAATAGAGGAGAAATTCTTTGACATTAATAATTTCGATTCTTCTGATGAATTTGGAAACTTTATCAGAAAGGCAACTCCTCAAAATTTAACAAATTATTTCAATGAAAATGGCATTCCTCGTTTATTAAATTACTGTGGAGACCCATATTTCAGAAATAAGTTTTTCGATATCAATGTCGATGGTATTGTTGAAGTTTTGCCTGCAATCTTGGCATCGATTTCTGGACAAAATAGAGCAATTATATTACAGCGAATTCTAGATGTACATCGCGAATCTGCACAATTAACACAAGCATTCGAATCAATGGCTCTTAGTACAGATCCAATTGAAATAATTAATCAAATAGAACACGTTGCATCATCATTATTGAAGTGTAAACGAACGAAATTCTTGATTGCATCACCATTGATATGTGAATTAGCGTATATTCACTGTGGGATTAAAAGAATTATTCCAATGACAACTGGATTAATTTCCAGTGTTGTTGGAAGAGGCGATTATGCAATTATTCAAGACCCATTTAATACAGAAGAGATAGATTTAGCCGTAGAATCTTTTATTTTCGAAGGAAGTAGAAATTGTTTAATAGCACCTTTGATGCACTCTGATTTTGAAAATCCATTCGCTTTTGTAGCAATAGATAAACTACGTGATGATTCTTTTTCGCCAAATGACTTTATTATGCTTTGTTATTTATTTAGAAACGTAACTTCACAAATTAAACTTCTCGTTAGAGAATTAACAAGTGCTACTGAAAAAGATATGACAGAACTTGTTGAAGGATTATCAGAAATTGCGGATTCTTCAAATGCTCACGATATGATTGCTAAAATCATAAATGAAAGCAACAGATTAACGGATGCAAGCACTTCAAGACTATTCACTGTTGTTGGTGACTGTTTTTGTGAAGAAACTCCAGGAACAAATATTGGAGGAAAATTATTAATGATCGATCGAGGTTTAACATGCAGAGCAGCAATAAATAATGAAACTACAAACTATTTCTTACCTCGTCGTATCAAAGATTTTTCAGTTGCAATTGATGATTTAACAGAACCTCGAATTTGGTCAATGATCGCATGCCCGGCAACATACAACGGAGAAGTCAAGGGTGCGTTTGTACTATACAATAGAAGGAATGGAACCTTCTTTTCAGCAAAAGATTCTTTTGTTGCTACCAATCTCGGAAAATGCTTCCTTCCTTTACTCCACACATGCTGCGAATCAACAAAACTTCATGAATCCTTAGAAAGAAACAATATTAACTGCGTTCGAGCATATAATTTAACTGTTTTTTCATTAAAAGCAATACAAGCTGCCGGAACTCCAAACCTTTACGAGCAAATGTCCATTTTCTGCGAAAAACTCAAGCCTTCAGTTCAATTTAGATTTTTAATTTACGAAAATGACAATTTATACGAAGCATCATCAAGACAAACTGTTCAAAGCGAACCACAATTACTAGATGCCATCGTCGAAATGAAACCTACAGCTGCGATCAGTGAAAATGTTGGAATTTTAGTTTATCCTATAAAATCCAACGCAAACAACCAAGTTTATATGTTCGAATTCCGAGCTCCTTTGATGAAACTCAAGACAGAAGAAGAATCAAACGGAATTCTTCAATGCACAAGAATTTTACATTCATTAGAAGAGCATTCCATGAAATTAGCGCTTCCTGAGAATTCCAGGAAGATGCAGAGTAAAGCTCGAAACACCAGTTCCAATAAAACCCAAAGTTCGAGTTCATCATCTTCATCATCTTTCTTTAACCTTGATTTATCACTTGTAGGTAATGGTAACAACATGCCCTTCATTCCTTTATCCCTAAAGAACATCCACGATGAAGATGGAATGACGTCTACCTCCATTTTCGACCTTTCAAGATCAGAAACTCAAACAAAAAGTGACAAGTTTATAATTGTCAGTTCTGCCCAACCATCAATAAATCCGCAATCATTTGAAACACAATTGGACCAAGGTAAATTGCAGATTTATCCATTCGATCCCTTCCTTTCTAACATTTTATTTTCTTTTTCGAAATTATCAATAAGACAAGTGGGTTTACACAACAAAATCGTTACCCAAAAGAGATATAAACCTACTGTAAGGGCTCTCCATCTCCTGGGAAACGTGTTGGCTTGTCCAATGCCGTTTTCCGAACTTTTGAATATTTTATTGATCTCTTTTACTAATTTGTTCGGCCGTGAGATATCGTTAGAAATATTCGATCCCCCGTTAAAAGACGAAACAGAAACAGATCCAAGCGCTTTGAACTTGGAAAGAGATCGAAAAATTTATGCATCGATAAAAATTCCTTCCCCGATGTCGCAAGATCGATCAATGGCCTTATCATATTTCGCTGATTTGGTTCTTGCTCTTCTTGCAAGCAGAACTGAAGGAAAACCCGAAAATCAGTATGAAATCGGGCGTCCTCCGATGCTTAAACCTGATTTGACTTATAACTTCTTAAGATTCGGTATCCAAGAGAATGTTTCTCTATGCAGTGAGTTGTTTTTCGCGTTCAGAGTCCATGAAGTTTTGGATGTGACGAAAGAAAGAGTTACAATCTGGTTAAGCAAGCTTTCAACGAACCCTGAAGAAGAGAGATTCTTCATAAGTGCGTTGGATGCGTTGCAATTTGGATATTCCATGTTTTGCGAATTTAAATTGTTCGATTACTTCAATCCAAGTGAATTATGCGCTTGCTGCTTATCCATATTCTTTAGATCAGCATTCCCTCATATGAGACCGAACTTTAAATACGGAAATTACTTGAAAAATTTCCTAAATTCAAAAAGTGACAACAAAATTGTTGTTAGAGTTACTACAGCAATGATCTTATTATCTAGTCCAGACTGTGACCTCTTAGAATACGCTCCAGAAGAGATAATGTGTGAGTTAATTGAGTTAATGCTCGAAAGAGCGACAGAATCAGCTTCTCTTTTGATTGCCAAGTTGTCTGTCGAAGCCAAGAAAGGTATTGATCTGAATAAAGAAAGAAACAGAGCTTTATTCGCTACTTTGGTAACTGAAATGTCTCAATCTTCTCCATTTTTCAGAAATATTGATGTCTTCAATGATTTATGCCTCGCAAGCATGGAAACACAAGCTCTTATTCTCTACAAAGCAGAGAAAATCGTTCAGAAATACGTAAATTTGCTAAAATTGCTCGGAGAAGGATCAAATATCTTCGAAAAAGCGTTTTCTGATAAGATTCCATGGCTTATATCAAAGGGTGAGGAATATTTCATGCAGCAGGCAGCAGAAGAGGAAGAACAAGGTAATATGTCTTTGTTCGACGCAAGATAAATTTTATATTAGTTGTCAATTAGAAGAAAATGTGAAATTTTCTCCTTAATTGATTTGTTATAAATGTTCTATCTATCATACTCTTAATATCTTTTTAAAATAAATAAAATTAAGAAAATTATTCAATGAAGAATCGATTTTCATGCTAATTGTTGCCAAGTACTAATATTTTATATCCCAAAGTTATGAACAATAACATTCATTTGAGCTATTTGAAATTCAACCTGAACAATTTGAAAATTTCCTTTTTTCGCTTGAATGTATTTTAACATTCAGAATGAATATGTTAATTATATTTCTTAGTTTATATGAGTATAAATTGCTATTAGAAATTTCCTCTTATACTTTTTGGAAATTTCTCAAAGTTGATACAGTATTCTCACCGAACATATATTGCATTATTTTGTTGTCAAAGATTGTCATTGTGTCTATTTAATGTTCAAAGAACAATCCTTTGATGTGAAATTAAAAAAAAAACACAAATTATTAAAGTTTTAGAATACTTTTTTAGATAATAATTGATTGAATCTTCCAAGCAATCATGAAGTTGTATTGAATTTGGATAGTATATTGTTTTTTCATTAATAATAATTAAAATTAAAGTATAATCAAAAAACATTACTTACAGATTGGTGTATATTGGTATATTATTGCCAATTAATTTGGAGCCGGTTCTTGAACTTCTTCGTTTTCCTGTTTTTTTGGATCTTCAACAATTTTTTCTTTGTCTTCGAGATCGTTGTTACTTTCTACATCAGCGTCGAATGACTGATTAGCTTCTTCCTCAGTCTTCTTATAAGGGAACAAACAAAACAGAACAATTGCAAATGGAACGCATAAAAAGCCAACTACGTATGGCCATGTAAGTTTGTGCTTGAATATTAAGCAATCAATGAATAACGAGAAGAAATTTGATGTTAAAAATGAGAGATTCATCTCTGTAGCGTTTGAATGTTTCATAATCACAGGAACAAGTGTATAATATAGAGCCATTACTATTCCGTATGCAATTATAAGTGATATTGTTGATGCAACCCAGAGATATTTCTTTATTGTCTTAAATTCAACGGCAAACATCAAAATTATCGAAATTGGAGATGTAGTAGTTCCAAATCTGAAAAGATATATTGCTATTGATCCTTCGTGAACTAGTTTTTCTTCTAAAGTAGTTGCAATTGCATAGCAAATTGCGGAAATAAGAGCAATCATGTTACCTAGCCAACGTGAATCACCAACGCCGTCCTCAAGGAAGACGATAACTACGCCTCCCATTCCAATAAATATAGCTAATATTTGCCAGAGCGTTAGTTTTCTCTTAAATACAAAGAAAGCTAAGGGAGCAACCCAAAAAATAACGGTTGTAACAAGTAACTGGGCTGATGAAATCGAAGTTAGAGTGTAAGCGTATATAGATGATACATCGCCACCGAGATTTAATAATCCAACCATGATATATCCGAACCAGGAAGCGGTAGTTTTCGGTAATTTCCAAAGGTTAATGAGTAATAACGCAACGTATGATATTGCTAATTGAAGAAAAGGTAATGTGAAACCAGCAATCTGTTCTAAGAACTTGCAAAATATTGCCAAAGCTGAAAGCATTAACGAGCATACTTGCCACATTATCATTGCGAACCATTTGTGATCAAGCCATCCTTCGAAGTACCCAATGCATTTCATCAATAAAAAATAATGAATTAAAATGACAGCGGATTCACTTTGAATTCGAAATTTCGGCATTTTTCAACAAACGATGAATCTTAAATCAGACAAAATGTTTAAGATCTGATTACAAATTTTGATTTCAATATAAAATGAAATCAAATCGTAGTCAAGGTTTGTATGAGAATATTGTTGTTTATTCAATGAGGTATGCGATTTTATAAAACAGAAATAAAAAAAAAATGAAAATCCGATTATTTTCAAATTGTTGAAAGAATTACATTCCATCTCTCGCGTGGGATAATGTCCACATCAGTAAATGTGAAGAGATTGACATGTTCTGAATATTTGGAAGATGTTGCAGCTTCCAACACAGGAGCAGCTGTTGCTGGAGCTGCTGGAGGAGGACCAAATAGTGCATCAATCATGGAGAGATCTCTCATGAAAGGAGTAGAACATGTTCTGATTACAGCAACAACATCAGCTTCTGATGTACCAGGAGGAGAAAATAGTGTTTTTAATGGCTCTGGTAGTTTTTCTGGTTTCATGTATTCGGATGCTTTTGACTTGAAAATTTCTTTCATTTGAGAAGTTTTGAAAGTCTTCAAACCATCTGTTTTGAAATAATCTGCACCACAGCAAAGAGCAGCAACTATGTGTTCTGCTTCTGGTGTCATCTGATTTTTAGCAATATTTTCTGCATTTTCTTTTAATTGTGCAATATACTTTAATAGTTCATTTCCTGCATTGACTTTTGCCTTAGCTTCAAGCATCTTCTTTCCAATTGTAAGTGCCTGGTTTTTATTCTTTTGCATGATATAATTTGCGCAATTTCTGCTTCCTGCATCAACAGTACCTTGCTCCCTACGGACGGTTTGTGTTATTTCTGCATTTATTAATTTTTGAGCTGATAAAAGTTTATCAGGATCGTATCCTTTTGATTTCTTAAACATAAAATATTTCAAAATCTAGAAGAACGGACTAGTGTTATGCTATTGATTAATTATTTCATTTTAATTGTTCCTTCCGGTGAATTCTTTCTTCATTTGAATAGTTTACAATTTGGTGGAGAAAAAAATTGATGGAAAATTCATTAAAATGAGCCAAAGCATCAATCTTGATATCAACTGCTCTGCTAATAACATTCAAGCATATTTCGATCAAGGGAATTTTTTTGATATGTTTGATGCAGAAACTATCTCAGATATGTTAGAGAAAACAAAACTTAACTGTACTAACTTCATTACTCTTCTTACGCAAGGTAAATCAAAATATAACTCATCTGAACTATATAGCTATATTAGAAAATGTAATGTTGACGTTGAATCATTTGATGATGCAATTAATATCCTCAAAAGTTATGCAAAGTTACTCAAATTAAAATCTTCTCATTCATTAATTGCATTTTTTGAGAAATACAAGAATGAACAATCAAATGAAATTAATCAAACAAAACTAAAAATTAATGAAAAAGAAAATGAAATATCAAAACTTAGAAACAACATTAATCAGCTCAACAGTGAAATATCAACACTTAAAAACAAAAATGTTCAACTAGATAGCGAAATATCTACAGTTAAAAATAAAAACAATCAATTACTTCAATCAATAAATGATTATGAAAAAATTTCGGAATTGCAGAAGTCAAATGATTTTAATGCAATCTACAATTTCCTTAAAGAAATTTCGAATAAAGGAGATAAAGTGAAAATGTCTATTTCATGTGCAGCTGGATTAAGTGAAAAGAGAGATTCTGATCAAAATACTCCACTTCTTTGGGCATGTTATTATGGAAATCTTCAATTAACAAAATCTCTTATTGAAGGAGGTTGTGATAGAAATGCAGTAAATAAATTCGAAAACAATTGTTTAGTTGAAGCATTATTAAATGGACATCTTGAAATTGTAAAATATTTAATTGGAATTGGTTTTGATAAAAATTGGCGAACAAAAACTAGTGGATTTAATGCAATTCTTTATGCGTCACAAGAAGGTCAACTTGAAGTGGTGAAATATCTACAAAGTATTGGTTGTGATGTCAACTCTAAACAAAATAATAATGCAAATTGTATTTACTTTGCATCATCAAATGGTCATCTTGAAACAGTTAAATATCTTGTTTCAGCCGGAGCAAATCCAAACGAAAAAGATAAAAATGGGTTTTCTTCATTAATTGCTGCAGCATCAAATGGTCATCTTGAAGTAGTTAAATATCTGATTCAATATGGATGTAATAAAAATGATAAAACAAATTATAATAATTCTTCGCTTCATTGGGCAGCAATGAAAGGACATTATAATGTTGCTGAATATTTAGTTTCAATTGGTGTCAATCTAAGTGATAAAGACAATGGAGGAAAAACTGCACTTGATTATGCAAAAGAAAAGCAAAATGAAAACGAAAACTATAAGAAGATTATGAATCTTCTTATTAGATCATGAAACAATGAAGAAGATTTTCTAATCATTCGCAAAAAAGTTGTCTTGGCGTTTTGAAATCGTTTACAAGTTGCAATTTACGAGTCTATATTAAAAAGTGACTTTTTTAATATGACCTCTCAAATTTTTATCACTTTTTCATCAATTAATGAGCGGAGGATATTGGGATTTAGTTTCAACAATTGTAATAGTGCAGCTATAAAATATAGAATATACAGATGCATCTATATGAATTTGGTGCTGTTTTCTTATTTTTCTTAAGGGTGCCCTATAACGATAATGTAAACATCACAAAATTAACCTTATTAGAACTCGAATGAATGGATTATCCAGATTCTAGTTCTCAATATAATAGCCTTAAAAGTGCTTTTCTGAGGGTGGTCTATCGTCTATAGGGCACCCTTAAATAGATCACAATTGATTACAAATATATCCTTAATAAATGAGCAATTGCATTCTATTATATAAAAGAGCAATCTTATTACTTTATTGTCCACTTATGCAGAGCATTACTAGACGTATTTTTTTTTATGAATGAATATAGAGATTATAAAATATTGTCTGACAATAGTTTTTCAAAGGGTATTTTGCTATTTTACTTAAATATTAAAAGATACTGTATCAATAATCTTTAAAAACAACAGCTGAGGATTAACCTTGCAGACTCTGGCATCAAGAAAGGCTAGAGCTTCGTATTTAATGATCCCAAGGGCCGGATTCCGCTGAGAATTGTCCGTGATGTGGAAATTCTCAGAAAACTCGGCCTCTAGGAATGTATTGGAAGCCTTGGCCTCATAAGGCTCCAGAGCATGCATGTTCCCTTTTTTCATGGCAGAGTTTTAACTTGGTCGTCCTCATGAGGGACTATCAGGTCGAAACTACACCATGAGGATTGTACTTGCAGGCCATGGCCTCTGCAGAGACCAGAGCTTCGAATTTACTGCTTCCCAGGGCCGGACTTCTCTCCTGCCGCCCTAGATCAGGACGGTATTTGAGAAAGCCGGCCCTGATGATTGTAAGCGAGACTCTGACCCCTGCTGATGTCAGAGCCTGTGATTTTATGTCTTCCAGGGCCGAGTTCTTGCGAGACGGTCTATCATGTGGACGATCTCCCTCAAACTCGGCCCTGAGGATTGTATTTGCAGGCTCTGGTCTCAGAAAAAGGCCAGAGCTTCCTATAAACGCTCTCTCGGGACTGGATTCCTCTCCGGCCGCCCCGAATCAGGGCGGTCTTTGAGGAAACCAGCCCCGAGGATTGTTTGCGAAGCTCTGGCATTTTCTGAGACCAGAGCTTGTGAATTTCATTCAGTGCCAAGTTCCTCTCGGATCGATCCTAATGAGGACGACCTTCGAGGAACTTGGCACTGAGGTTATGAATTATGAACTCTGGTCCTGATGAAGGCCAGAGTTTTGATGCAATATCTTGATGGGATGAGCTTATGCTCAGTAAGCTCATCCCATCAAAACATTCGTTTAAAAATTGAATGAAAAATTATCGTATGTATTGAAATTTTTAAATAATAAACTTGAATAAAATTATTATATATAAAGAATAGAATAAAATAAAGCCGAAATTGAATAAAAATTTCCAAAAAAATTGAAAATTCGGAAATTCAAATAAAAAACTACAAATTTCCTATGAAAAATAAAGAATTTAAAAATTTTGTATTTATAAAGTATCAATATTTATGATCAAAATGAGAAAGTTAGTATTATTTGAGAATTTTATGCTAAATGTGATATTTATAATTTATTAAAATGAAATTATTGATGAAAGGAAGTAGCATTTGCAATGTAATAGAACAATAGCTTACAAATTTAAACTCCTTTCCAAAATAAAATAACGATGTGATATTCTTCATGAAAAGTACGTCATTTTTCAGTTCTTCACACATAAATGCAGGGTACAAGTGATGTACCCTGCACTTATATGTGCACAATTGGAAAAGTATTAGTCACATTCGCATCCAAGAACAAAAGTGCATCATTTTTCAGTTCTTCACACATAAATGCAGGGTACAAGTGATGTACCCTGCACTTATATGTGCACAATTGGAAAAGTATTAGTCACATTCGCATCGAAAGGAAAAGTAAGCCAATTTCCAGATCTGACTACATGGATGCAAGAGCATATAGTAACCCACTGCAACCATGCACTCAGTCCTGGAATTGAGAATTACACATTCACATTCAAATAAAAATATGGGAAACATGGTTATATAATGTAGGTAGATGAGGACTGCCTTGAAGACAGTCCTCATCTACATACATTATAGCCTAATTTGACTTGGATGTGAATTAATCTTTTGACACCTATTAGGAAATTTATCGGTTGATTTATTTAAATAACATAAGGTCTCAATAAATTAAATAAGGAATGAATTTTTGAAATCTCCTTCAAACTTTTATAAAATAATTTTATAACGAACATTATTTGAATAACAAAATAAATATCTAGTAATTTTGAAAAGATTTTTTTTATCAAAAGTTGTCTCAAAATTGAAAGCAATAATAAATACAATAAAGAGTTCAATAATATATTATATCAAAAATATGGCGAAAATCCTTAATTTATTTTCAATATGATTTTATTACGGGAGGCTTCCGACCAGAAAGCCCTCTCAATTTTTTGTGATGTTTACACCAAAAGTGAGATTCGTTAAGCGTTTTTCTCGTTGAATATTGAGTTTCCCGGATTTTAAGTTATTCATAAAGCTTCTCTATATTATACCCTATCTACTGATATGATTATTTTTGAAAAATCTCTTAAATCGACCTGCACTGAATTTTTTAGGGAAAATTCGAAATTTTATAGGCGTCTTCTGTAACGTTTTTTACGGAATAAAATCCGAAAAATAATTTTTTGAAGAATCATTTGGGTAGAATACTTATCGAAAATTATATTTATTATAATTTTGGTCGATAAAAATAAGCGGATTCAAAACTGGCAAAAACCCTTTCGGCAATTTGTGGACGATTCCGAACCCCCTCATTTTTGAAATTTAATAAGAAAAATAGAATCTTTATTAAATATAGATTTTAAAAAACTTGGTTATAAATTACGAAATTTTCTCACTTGGGCTAAAAAGTGACAATTTGGTCGGAAGCCACCCTTACATTCAATTTTGAATGATACGAAAAAGTAAGATTTCTTTGAATTTTTGACTCTTAATATCATTTATCTATCAGTTTGAATATTAATTCTATAATTTGTAACCATATATTAATTTATATACGTTACTAACTTATAATATGTTTAATTACCTTCATTATGAATCCAAATACATGTATTTCTAAGTATATCATAATATATATCTAACGTCTATCATCAAATCCTATTTTTATCTATTAATCATTTAATAATTTAATTTCATTTGCAAAATATCCGATATCTGACTATATTTACTGAACAATAATCATCAATAACACAATATAACGCATATATAATAATAAAAATATGTGTATTCGATATATTCATTCTAATTCAAATTAGCATCTTGATCAAAACTCAATTATAGTCATTACCATTTTATATATATATTCCCCTAATTATATCTAATTTAATTGTTATAGTAAACATTAATATATTGCTAGATGCATAATATTGATTTTTATATAACTTTAATAGTATGCCCATTGCATAATATGATCATCACAAGAATGAGTTCTGATCATATGTGCAATCCCACATTATATAGACAAATCACATAAAAAAAGATGAAAAAGTGATAATAAATTGAGAGGTCGTATTAAAAAAAAGTCACTTTTTAATATAGACTCTGCAATTTACCTTAGATCTTATGGAAATCGATATAATTTCTTCAAAAGTTGTTTGTTAATTAAAGGTCGAGTCAACAAAAATCTGACACATGACTTCACTGATATCATTTCTAGTTAAAAAAACATAGAATACATCATTGATTTTCATATGAATATTTTTATCATTTGTTATACTTCTAAATATTCAAATCATAATGGATATAATTAAGATTTTATTGTTTCATTATATTTAAGATTTCGACAAAAAATCGATTCTGGCTTTTTTGTTGTAGAATAAAGCATCTGTCTATATTGTATTACAATAATATGGTAAGGAAAATTCCAACAATTTATATTTTCACTCTAAAAAAGATATTTTCTAGAAAAAAAATACATTAAAATCAATTTATTCCATAGCTCTAAGTTATTTATGGTCAATTTGCATAGACTTATGGCAATCTCTTTTTAGGGGAATAAACATTCAGGGTTGAGACAGAAATATTTAAAAATGACTTAATATTATATTAAATTTTTATTATTTCGAAACATTCTCGTTTTTACGTTGAATGTCAGTATCCCCAAAAAGAATACTGTTAGTAAATTGTAAATTATTAGAAATAAACCCATAATTCAAGGTGTCGTATTCAGAAGTGAAGAAACAAAAAACTGACAAATGACATCACAGGAGGTACATGACGCCACAAATTCTGAGATTATTTGCGTCCAATATGAAGGATTCGGTGATCTAATTAAATTAGATGGCAAATCATTTACATTTGCCACTTTGATTTGCGGTAAAACATATCAAGAAGCAAGTAACTTATTAAGAGAGGCTGGTATAGATGTACCATCGTCACAATACTTTTACAGGATTCAAAAGGTGATTCTCGAGAAAGCGAAGGAATTAGCTGAAAAAAGTGTAAAAAATCATGCATTGCAGTTAGTATCCCTAACTTGGGTACGGTGGCACTGCGTTCCACCTTACCCAACTTGACCTTAAATATTTACAAAACCGTCTGACACATAAACGACTTCACTAATGACTTCACTAACGACTTCACTAACGAATTCACTACCGTCCTCACTAAATAAAAATAACCTTATTTTATTTTTTTTAAATTTTTTATTTCATTACAAAGACATGTCCGACTACATTTACTATGACTCTTTCCCAGAACGTTTCCGTGAACTATTCAAAACTCAAGTAAAACTGAGAAACATGCATTTTAACAAAGACAGACCCA